GATATAAGTACTTCTGCAATTCCATTGTTATTAGGACACCTAATTAAATGCAGAGCATCCGAGGAAAGCAACGTTGGGCTTGTAAATCTAAAGCACAGGAGTCGGGGGAGGAGAAGGAAGTTGCTGTGTCCTTGATGCTGGGGCTGGGGGTGTCGTGAGCCATGGTGCCTGTGGGTGAAGGAGGGTGGCTTCTTTCCTCTCGGGGCTGAGTAAGGGGTCAGGCTGGTCACACGGCTGCAGCTGTGTCACCCGGCATGGCCTCTGGGTGTTGGGGTACAGGGTGAGGGTAAAGGAGCCCAAGGAGAGGCTGCCCTCCCATGGGCGGAGCCATGGCCCTGCTTCCTACCTCCCATCTCCTGGGGCTGGTAGGTCTGCAGAAGGGACAGAGGGTGGGGAATCCAGACTCATGGGCTTAGGTCCCGGCTCTGCCCTGTGCCCTGGGTCTGGAGAGGGTCACCAGTGATGCATTCCTACCCAGGCCTGTTGCAAATGGATGTCCTTCAGTTCTGCAAACCCACATCAAGGATCTACTCCATCCCAGGGGACCCTCGGGAGGCACAGGAGGCTTGAGTCCCAGTGCCATCTTATCAGGAGGTGGTCATTCTTTTGGTCATTGACTGAGTAGAGCATTTATGGAGCACCTACTGTGTGCCTGCTGGATGCTAGGAATGCAGCACTACATAAGACTGCCAAGACCTGCTCGTAGGTGTGAACGGCTTGGTGAGTCATAAACGGACAAGATATCTTTAGAGAGCGGCCAGGGCTGCAGAGGAAGTAAAATGAGGTGATGAGCTAGAAGCTAGACAGGGAGGTCAGAAAGGTGACCAGTGCCCCGAGATGAATTCATTAGCACGCTGTGGGAGGACAGCTGTAAGCGTCACCTGTGCATGCAAGGTGGACGTGACATTCAGACAGGGAGTCAACTCAGACTCCAAGCTGCAAAGGCTTCCCAAAGGCGAGGAGGACGTCATGAACTAAGCCACCGTCGTACAGGCACCTGCCGTCTGTGCACATCCACTCCACGCCAGGTCCCTGGCCGAGCTCCTCACAGGCGTCATCTCCCACCCCTGCACCAGCGAGGGTCATGGTCCCCTGTGTCCGACAGGGAAACTGAGGGTTGGAGAGGAGTCTTTGCCCGAGGTCACAGGGCATGTGAGTAGGCAGATGGGAGTTACACCCAGCTTGTGTGGCTCCATGCTCCCCCTTCCCCACCATAGTGTCCTGGTACCCGTGAGGACTCAGGAACAGGAGGGACACTGAGTCTGTCAGGTTCAGAACATGGGCAGTGGAGGAAGCTGGGGTGACGGGCTTCCGAGGAGGAGGCTGTTCCATCACCTCCTGTCTTGTCTCTGTGCCCAGTGAACCTCAGGACAGGCAGGAATGGCCGACTGTTAGCACCATGTGGTCTCAGCTAGTGGTGGGAACACTAGCAGTTTCTCTCATGTTGAAAAACACAGTGCATTGCTGGCTCTTCCATCAGTGTGTCAGTCTCTGCTGCATGTACAGGTCTAGACAAGGTCCTCACTCCCTCACAGGCCTCTGTCACATTACCCAACAGTGGTAGAACCTGGGTTTGAATGTCTGTCGGTCAGAATCCACAGCCTGTTCAATCCATGCCATGTAAGGTCCTATCCTTGCACCCTCTGCTCACTATTTATATTAGTCTGTTTTCTGCTGCTATTACAAAATACTCAAGACTAGATACCTTATAAAGAAAAGAGGTTTATAATCCCAGAAGCTTAGGAGGCTGGCTGAAGCAGGAGGAGTGCGAGTTCACAGCCAGCCTCAGCAACTCAGTGAGGCCCTAAGCAATTTAGTGAGACTCTGTCTCAAAATTAAAAAGTGAAAACCGCTGAGGATGTGGCTCAGTAGAAAAGAACCCCTGGGTTCAGTCCCTGGTATGAAAGACAGAAAGAGAGGGAGGAAGGAAGGAAAAAAGAGGCTTATTGAGCTCACAGTCCCTAAGGTTCAGGGGCATGGGGCTGCCCTGGATTCTGGAGAGACCTCAGGGTAGATGGCATCACGATGGCGGAGACGTGTTTAAGAGGGAGCGGTCCTGGTGACACAGGAAGGTGGTGTGAATAGAGAGCGGGACACTGTTGCCCAGCAGCCCACCCTGGTGGGAGCTGACGCACCCTGTGGGACGTGCTCATCCTGCCGAGGGTGGCACCTGTGACCCCAGTTACCTCCACTAGGCTCCACCTCTCACCTGGCCACGCTGGGGACCAGACCTGCAGTACAGGAACCTTTGGGGTCACGCTTACACCACAGCTCCTCTCTCCCTCCCCCACAGCAAAGGATGGTGGGCGCCAGGGAAGCATCTGCCCTGACAGCACTGTCACCCACGACTTGAGATCGTGGTTCCACCACTTATCCCTGGGCTGACCCAACTTCCAAGCCTGGTGCTGACCCGTCTCACTCCATGACACCTGCGTCCCACAGGGACGTCCCCGGCCTCTGCTCCTGCCTCCGGGAGTGGGGCCTGTGCCCCAGGCATCGCCTTCTGTTGCTGACCGGCTGCAGCAGCAGAAGAGCCTCCTTCTCCGAAGCCTCGGGGGTTCCTCGTGACCTCTCACACCTGCTGGCTGCCCGGAGCCCAAGGCTTCTCTGCCTGCGAGGTCGGCAGCGTAGCTCGGGGTGTCCCTTAGGGAGGCGCAGCAGCCAGGGGACCGCCCGTCTTGCTCCTCGCTCAGATGCCCTGGGTTTCCACTCTGTTCTGGATGCCTAAGTTCAGAAGTGGGTGACGTGGGGGCTGCCAGGGCTACAGGTGGGGAGGCTCCCTTCTGAGGCTGAGCGCTGGATGCCTGTGACAGGTGCCTGTCCCACCTCTCACATCCTGACACCCCTGGACATGTGAGCCCACCAGCCAGGGCCTGGGCTTCCTAGAGTGGGAGGCAGAGAGGAGCTGGTCCGCTGCAGGTGCCTGTGCATTAGGAACTCCCCGGGGCACAGGAGCCAGAGGGTTCCCTAGACAGATGAGCCAGTGACTTCTGAGGCGTGGACCATCGGCTTAAGTTTCCTGCTGTGGAAGGAGCCCGAGCCGGGACAATGTCTGGTGCCGGCGTGCAACATGGTGGGAGCGGCACCTCTGCGCCCACTGGTGAGAAGGGTCCCAAGGGCCTGTCATTCACGGAAGTGGGAGCGGTCACAGGCCGGGCACTGTGGGTGCTCCCCCTGTGCTTGATGAAAACCCACGCGACAACTCCCGAGGCTCCCGTTTGCAGATGGGGAAACTGAGGCTAGGAGATGCGATGGCTGGCACAGGTGTGAGGGCAGAAGTGGCGGAGTGGCGTTGCCCACCAGGGCTGGTGTCACCAGCCTCCCTGTCCAGGCCATCTGCTGTCCAAGGCCTGTTGGCCCACGTGGGCTGCCGTAGCAGAGCGCACAGACCCTGCGGCTCCACCGAACAGCAGTTTCTCCTCCAGAGTCTGGAGGCTCGAGGCCCAGGGTCAGGGCCCAGCTTGCTCCGGTTCTGGTGAGGGTCTTCCTAGCTTGCAGGTGGCCACCTTCGCCCTGACCTTGTGTGGAGAAGAACACGAGCTTTGGTAACGCCACCTCACCCCTTCACGAGGCCACCACCCTCTTGGCCTCGTTAAGCCCAGCTGCCTCCTAAGGACCCGATTTCCAGACACAGTCACGTTAGGGATGACGAGGACGTAGGAATGGGGGCGGGCACCATGACCCACAGCACCTCCAGGTGGCCTCTGCATGCTCCTGGCTAGCTGCCCCCACCTACCCTCTTGGCTCAATACCCTAACTATTTCCAACCTGGGGGACAGCTGGAGTGGGGCCAGCAGGCATGACGCGCCCCAGGCTCCTGGCAGATGGAGTGGCTGAGACCCTGGGAGGAGACGGGTCCTGGCCCGGCCACACAGCAAGCCCCTGCGGATCCAGGCCCAGAGCCCAGGCCTGCCGCTGGCTCCGGCACCCCCAAGTGCTTCAGTAGGTGTGCCCGGGGGCTCTGCCTGAGCCAGCCTTAAAGGTCACAGTCCAGGCCCTTCAGGTCATTGGAGAGGCCGGCATGGCCAGGGCGGCCTGCCCGGGCCAGCCACGTGACGATTTCCAGCGTGTGCACGCCTCAGTTTCCCTACCTCATGAGGTCCCAGGGCCACAGGGTGATATGGAGAGTCTCGTTGAGATTGGTTCTGGGGTGGGTGTCAGGGTCTGGCCTGCCACTATTTTTGTGGGTGGCCCAGGGCCGTCACGACTCTGCTCCTGACCCCCGTGCCCTCCTGTGACACAGACTCCATAGTGCATGCCCTGCCCTGCTCAGTGCTGACCCTGCTGCTCCTCCAGGTTCTCTGGTGTTGGAAGAGCCGCCTCTGTGCCCCGGGGCTGGCTCCCCAACATGGCCATCGCAGGAGCCTTTGGGGGCTGGAGTCTCCCCATCTGTAAAGCAGGAGCAGGAAGAGCTTGGAGAGCTCTCCAGGCGGCCTGCCAAGGAGGGAAGCGAGCAGCACGCGCGCTTGGCCTGCGCCAGACACTTAAACCCTGGCTGCTCAACACGTGGTTTGAGGAGCAGGCACCAGCTGACCCGGGAGCTCGTCAGAGACGCAGAACCCCAGGCCCCAGCCCTGCTGCAGCATCCCTCAGTGATCAGGGTCCCCAGCTGGTGCGGGTGCACGTTGAGGTTTGAGAAAAAGAGATGTTAGCCAGCTGCAGGTACCCTCCTAGGGCGCTGGTAACTCACTTGTGGTCAGTACGAACGAGGGCCAGGAGTCAACTGGGCACATCTGGACCTCTTTAGACTCCCGCTCTCCTAACAGTAACATTAGTTGGAGCCGTATCAGCCTGGCAGTTTTCAAACTGTGCTTCATGGCCCCCCTGGGAGCCTTGGGGCAGCCACCCAGACTGTGTGGGAAGCTAAGTGGGCCGGGGGTCCTTCTGTCCACTCCATACGCAGCCTTGCGTGTCTCTGTGGTGCCTTGTGCTGGTGGCTTCCCAGCTGGGCCTGGGAGCAGGGATGGTGTCCACTCTGAGCAGACTCTCCTCTTTCCTAGGGAGCGCTTGAAGCGCAGCCAGAAGAGCACCAAGGTGGAGGGCCCAGAGCCAGCGCCAGCTGAGGCCTCGCTGAGTGCCGAACAGGGTACGATGACGGAGGTGAAGGTCAAGACAGAGCTGCCCGACGACTACATCCAGGAGGTGATCTGGCAGGGTGAGGCCAAGGAGGAGAAGAAGGTGGTCAGCAAGGACGGGACAGGCGACGTGCCTGCAGAGATCTGCGTGGTGATTGGCGGTGTCCGCAACCAGCAGACCCTTGGTGAGCACCCAGCCGAGAGGCTCAGGGCCAGGACCAGGGCGGGAATGTGGGGCTAGCATCGTGGGGGAGTGGGCCTGGCCTCTGCCCGGTCCTCTGCTGAGAGCCCCTGCAGCAGCCCGGGCAAGCCTGTGCTCCCGAGACCCACCTCTGCGTCTGTCTGCAGGCTCTTATCTTCCTGCCCCGGCGGGTAAAACCCTACCCACCCGTCGGGCCCTTGTGGGCCTCCTGAGTCCCCTGTGGGGCCGGTGTCTCCCTGGTCACTTGCCTGTCTGCCTTTCCCCCTCCTTGGTTTGATCACGGTTCCTGGGGCAGCTCCCAGCTCAGGTCCTGCCCGAGCAGATCCCTGGTCAGGATCAGATTAGTGACACCACACCTTGCCCTCTTAGAGAGCTGTAGAAACCAGCTTTCTAGCAATGCTTTCTCTTCCTCTCCCGGGGTCCCCCACTGGGCTTCCTGCGCCACTGCCAGGCTCACAGCTCAGCTGCCCACAAGCCCAGCAAACAGTCTTGTTTCGTGTAAGGAGAGCGGAGCCAGCAGGACAGGTGGCGGGGACCGGTCCAATTGGAGCCCCTCACCCTACGCACGTGGGGTGGCTGCTCCTCAGCTGGTCTCTGAGCTCAGCGTCGCCAGGTCTCACAAATCGCACGCCAGGAACGAGCATTGTGATGTGAATTCTTTTGGTTTTCAGTGTTGGCAACAAATTGCACTTTTGAAATCTGCCAAACGGAACATATTTGTGGGTCTGAGTCTTTCCAAGGGCCACAAGTTGGCAACCCCTGCTCTGTGAAACGAAGCCCACCGACCGCAGCCTGACATTGTCGCCATGTCTGGTCAGACCCTGGGCTTCCGTTTCCATCCGCGCCGCCCTCCGCCTTTCCTGAGCTTGCTGTGTCTTTGGGAGTGCCGCTGCCTCCTTTGTCACTGGTTGGTCTGGCCTGCCTTTTTCTAAGTGCCTGCATCTGCCTGGTGTGCACCCTGTGTGGCCCTCAGGGTTCATGGTGAAGGTCCCTGTGTCTGTTCCACCTGGTTCCACTCAGGTCCTATGGCCTTTACTCCCCAGCCACTGGGCTCGGCCTCGTGCCCCCTTCCCAACCGCTCCTCTGCTGTCCGGGCCGTGATCAGCCCTGCCTGGGTCGTGCGGCACCTCTGACACCTGTGCTTCTGTGTCTCCCTGCCCAGCATCGCCTGCTCTGCCCGCTGGCTCCAGGGAGGTCTTGCCAAAGCAGACCCCTGACCGTGCCGCTCCCTGCTGGTCAGCCTCAGAACCGACTCTGTCCTGTCTCTGAGTTGAGGCTATGGCCTCAGGTCCTCCGTAGCCCCAGGTCCTGCTCATCTCTCCAGACCTCTCATTCCAGAGCAGTCTGCTCTTCTCGGCTCCCGCTGTTCCCTCTCCTGGGAATGCCTTTGCCCTTCTCCCAGATCACCCCACACCTGTGCCATCTGCTTTCAGAAGCGTCCCCTGATCCCTCTGGTCAGAAGGGTCTGTTTCCACCCTGGCCCTCACTAGGACACCTTCCCACTGTCTCTTTACAGAAGAGGCCTTCACTGTGTCTATGTCTCTGCCAGGTGACTGGTAACCCCTCAAGTTTGGAGCTCCAGGACCTGCCTGATTTCTGTCCCCTTGCTCCCCACTCCTGCCCATGCTACCTAGCAAGGTCCTGGCTTCTGGAAGTGATGTTCACAGTGGTACTGTAACTGGTGGAATGGGGCTGGGTTATGCTGCAGTAACAAAAGGTCCTAAAACAAACAAAGAGATCTTGGCAGCTTAAAACTCCACAAAAGTTTATTTCTTATTTACACTGCATGTTCATGTGGGTCACAGGGGGGCTCTGCCTTCCTCTGGGCTCAGACAGAAATCAGCCCTTATGTAGAATTCTGCTGGCCAAACAAGCCCTGGGTGGGCTCCCCTGGCAATCGTTGGCTGTAGTCAAAAGGAAGCGGTGTTAAGTCCGCTCGCAGCCATTGGCTAGAGCTAATCACATGGTTCTACCCAACGTCAAGGAAACTGGGAACAGTCATCCTTCCACTGCCGGAATCTGGGTGAACAGAGTGTCTGGAACAGGTGTTTAGTGCCAAAGGAGACAAGCCTTTTCAGGGGTTGGACCTGCCCTCCTGCCGTCAGTATTCACCCCCACCCCCGGGGTCAAGGACTGAGTTCCCCCAGGGTGGAATTCTTCCTGGGAAGAGGACATGCCCTTGCTCTCTCTGGTGTGTGCTGTGAGACTCACCAGACCCAGCAGCTGTCTCATGCTTACCAGGAGATGCCCAGTGAGGGCAGCAGAATCTGAGTCTTGGAGTGGAGCCGGGGCCCAGGTCCACCAGGGAAGCCTCGAGCATCCAAGCCAGGGAAGTGACGGAGCCTTCCTGTGACGCTGCCTGCACAGGGACAGCCCCTGGGTCCTCGAGCCTGGTGCCAGCCATGATGGGGTTTCCATCTCAGCTGCTGCTCCGCAGTGAGGCCCCTGGCCCGTCTGTCTTACTGTCCTCATCTGTGAAATGAGGCCTCGTTCCTGCCCTAGCCACCTCCTGGGTGTGGGACTCCAAACTGGCACTGAGGGCACAGTGTTGCCCGAGAAGGAGCTCCGCTGCTCTGACTGCGAGGGGATCGGGCCTGTGACGTGGGAGGTGTGGTGCCCCAGGCAGGTTTCTCGCCCTCTCGGTGTCTCAGTGCCACAGCTGCAAATTCCCCCGGTTACGTGAGGACGGGAAGAAGCCTAGGCACAGCACTTGACAGGGTGCTTAGTCAGCAGCCCAGGGCGGTCACATAGGTGCTGTGCAGAGTGGAAAATGCTCTTCAAGGTGCAGCACAATCATGGTCCCCGCTTCCCTCTCCCGGCCTCACAGGTCAGCCAGTGTGATACGGAGAAGAACGGGCTGGGGAGGAAAGTTGGCACTGGGCGAGTCCCTGACTTCCCCCTGGTACTTGAGTATCTTGTGAAGCATCTAAGTAACCTGGTCTTGGCATGTGCTTGTGGAAGAAGTTGTAGGGGCCAAGGGCAGGTCGGGGTGGAGCTGCCACTTTGGAGGCTGTTCCACAGCAGGGCCGGAGCCCCCCTGCTGGCTCGGGGGCTCATCTCACCTTCCCCAGGGCAGGCTTCCTGCTGGGGGGCGTGGTTGCAGCTGAGGAGGAGGCTGGCTTGGCCTTTCAGGAAAGAAAGGCATTAAAGAAAAAGAAAAAGTCAGTGTGAGAAGGAACCTTCCGACTTGTCTCATCTCCAGGTGGCGAATAGATCTCACCTGGTGGGTCAAGTCTAAGCGGTTGCTGCTGGGAATTCTGTGTTGAGGACTTAGGGGATGGCATGATCCACGGTTGATGTCCGGCCTGGATCCAGGAGTAGGTGGTGGGGCGACACGTGCTGTCCATTTAACATCCTTGACCCCCTCATTTTATAGAGGCAGCTGAAGGCCCGTGGAAAGGAAGAGCCCTTCCCAGAGTCACATAGCAAGGTGGTGACTCACCTCATAGAGCCTACCTTGCACCCGCTTCTGAAAGTCAGGCAAGGAGGGAACCACCCACGGGGTCCTAGAGAGGTGGGGGCTGGTTAGAGCCAGGTCTTTAAGTGGGCTCATGCCACAGGGTACCCCTGTGCCCCGGTGGCCCAGCCTGGGGAGTTGACGTGGTCCGAGGCACTGGGCAGGCTGTGTCAGGGCTTTGCTCACCCAGCCGCGCTGGGGCTCAGAGGTGGGCTTCGTTGCTGAATGGAAGAAAGTTCCTGCTTGGTCACCCCAGCTGCGCCACAGGGAGCCTCCCAAGTCCTCTCTGGGCCTTTGAAAGCCATCAGACCAACAGCGTTCCCAGCAGCACCGACATTGTCCAGGGCCCTGGCGTTGCAGCTCCTTGGGCGGGGGCCAGGGACATCGGTGCCCAGAGCCTGGCTGCCACATTTGCAGAGCTGCTGCCTCCACACCATGCTTCCCAGAGAAGCCCTTGAGCTGAGAAGGGTGTTTCCCGCTCTTAAAAAGAACACCACTGCCAGCGGCCGCTGTGGCACAGGCCTGTGAGTCCAGCACCTGGGAGCCGAGGCAGGAGGATCACAAGTTTGAGGCCAGCCTGGCAATTTAGCAAGGCCCTGTTTCAAATGAAGTATAAAAAGGGGTTGGGGGTGTATCCAGTAGGGTTTTATCCCCAGCACTGGAAAAAAAAAATCACAGCCATTGGAGCTGGTGTGGGGTTTGGGGGCAAGACCCCCAGCCTTTTTGAGCAAGAAGTGTACAGATAATCCTGAACTTGACAGCTTGGTCAGGTAAAACCAGAAGTGAAAGAAAGCCAGTTGACAGGTCCCGTGCCCACTTGACAGACTCCAGGCACAGCTGCCCGACAAGCCTTGTGCCGTAGCTGGACCATGCTTGAGGTCTCAGGAGCTCCTCTCTGAGGAGTGATAAACAGAGGCACTGCCCAATTCCACGTTCATGGCATGGCCAAGTGATCACCATACCGCAGTGTACCTCAGAATCCTGCTCAACCCGGCACACCAAGCAGTCACTGCCCCTCAGCTAGAAATGGAGAATTGGAGTGGAAGTCTCCTTAGCCTAGACCCACCCAAGGCAATGGGTTTATACCGGACAACCGGCTGTGGACCATTCCCGGCTTCCAAGAGGTAGGGACGCCAGCCCCCCTCATGGTGGTCAGAATGTGAAGGCTGTTCTCTGAGCCATGGGTCCGTTGGTCCTTAATCCTGAGGAAGGCCAGGTGAGGGGCTGGGGGCTGCAGGTGCATGGAGCCCGGGGGTCTGGGCTTTCTGGTGTGGGGCACGAAGGACCAGCCAGGTTATTCCAGAGAGTTAACTGTGGGGAGGATTCCTGTGGAAGAGCTGGGGACAGTGTGCCCTGAGGAGGGCGGTGTCGGGGGAGGGGAGGGGGGCTTGGAGCAGACACGTTCTGGGTGGGCCCAGCCAGCACAGGGACGTCACCAGGGGACAATTTCAGTTCAGTAACAGGAAGGACGTGGTGACTGAGGAACGGTTTGGTACCCCGATGTAAGTGTGTGAGGGAGATGGGTGAGGAGGGGGGGTCACTGGGGGGGCTCTAGGAATGGAGTCGGGGGTCAGGAATCTGCAGGGTTTCTAGGCAAGTTCTGAGCCCCCAGGGAGAGGGCGCAGACGAGGAGGGAGCCTCAGTCCCAAGGTGGCAGCTGGGCTGGCCTCTGGGAGGAGCAGCAGAGAGCTTGACAGCCACTCGGGCGCGGCCACGTGGGTTTCGGCCTGTGACAAGCTCAGGCGGTGGAGGTGCCAGGTCCTGCTTTGCAGAGCCAGCTGACAGCTAGTGTCCTGTTTCAATGGGTTGTTGGCAGGGCTTCGCGCCCAGGCCTGCCAGAACCAGCGCGCAGCCCTTTGCAGCGCCATGGAGAAAGAAGGGTCCTGGCTGCCCTCCAGGCCCGTGTGGTCTCCGCAGCGACTCTCCATCTGGTGGTCTCCAGTGGGAAGGGACCTGTTGGAGGATCCCTGCTGGAAGGCGTTCCTGGACTGCACATGCCGTGGGTTCATGGACAAGCCAGGGGACCGGGAATGGGAGTTCCTAAGCTCCTGAGTGTCAGTGGGTGGGGTAATGTCTTTCCAGAGGGAACCTTAGGGCAGAGAGGAGTGGTAGACATGAAAAGGGCTTAAGGGAGAGCCGAAAGCAAGCCAGATGCAGGCATCAGGACATTGACACCTCTGAGGTGACCCAGGGATGATAGGAACTATCATTTTTTGTTCCCTCCTAAAAGAGTGTTGAGACGCAATGTGTTTGTTCTTGCACATTTTTGAGTTGACGTCTTAACGTTTCTATCCAAAGTTTAAGTAATTGCAAAGGATACGGTTTCTGGAATACTGTATTTCAAAAAGGGTGGCACTTTGGAAATAAAGCTGTGAACCTCTCTTCTAAATGTATCCAAGGGAATCCGTGAAACAGCATTGCTATTTGAATATCCGCCATCGTCACTTAAAAAACATAAGAGCAAGCTCATCTTTAACAGCCACGTATTTTATATCTTTCCTTTTTCTCCTTGAACTCTTATTTCCAGTCCACTTCCCCCCGGGGTTTTATCCTAATGTAATATATTTTTTATGCTTCAAAGTCTTTTATTGATCACTGTTTCACACTCATCCACCACAACAAGAGGTACATAAATTGAAGTAGAAATTTCTGGAAAAAAAAAAAAAAACCCTGAGATCATAAAGCCCTGCATTTTAAAGCACAATTTTTTTTTCAGATTGAGTTGTTATTAGCATGCAATTCGTCAAAAGCAAATTTAGATAAATAGCAAATGTAAAAGTAAAAAATTATCGAAAGCACACTTCCCGATGGAATGGCTGGGGCTTGATTGCTTCCTCATTTGGCTCCTGTATCTGCAAATTCCTGTTTCTCGCTGCTGGGATGAGGCAAGACAGCCTCCGTCTCATTCCTGGTCTTTGGTGTTCACAGAGGGAAGTGCTTAGGAAGCTTGAGTGTGTGAATCAGGAGCTGGCGGTGGCTGGCGCTCTGTCGGTGGTGTCACTCAGCAATGTCACTCTGTTCTTTGAACTTCTTCTAAGATGTATGCCAAAAATCATGCAGGGGTCTGTGATCTGACGGGATTTTTAACGGTCTCTTTGCTAACAGCTCTATTAGATCCTTCTTTATTTGGGGTGAAAGCAGAGAATAGGAAATCTTTGGATTCAGAAATGGAATTGTCCCCAGTCATTAGATCCAGTCACCTTCCCAGCCCTGGTATTTCGGATCTTCTCTGTGCTTGGAGCCCTGAGGCTTTCCCCGGGGAGGCACTGTGGCAAGATTAGGGTGGGGAAAGGATGCCCTTTGGTTTATAAAGGGGAGAAGGGTGAGAGGAGGGTGTGGGGGGGACAGTGCGTGGGCCTCCCCCTGCCACCAGCACCGGTGCGTTGATTTTAGGAAAGAGTCTGTTTGGAAGTTGATGCCTGGAGAATTGACTTAAAACTACTGTCCCCTGGACAGCTGCCACAACCCCCTAGGATCTGTATCCCTTCTTGGAAAGATCAGAAGTCCACCGTCCACTTGTCCTCTCGAAGCACCCCTGTCCTCAGGCAAACCCTGGGCCAGCTCCCATGGTGCCTTGGGACTAAGAAGTCGGGGATCCCCTGAGCACTTGACCTGTGACCTTCTCTCATCAGCCTTGGTTTCCGTCCTGCTGTATTTTCTTTCTTCTGAAAGGTGTCCAGTTTCCCTAGAGTTAACTGTGTGCCCTGGATGGTAGCTGAGTGTTGCCACCCGCCTTCCCTGTCCTCGGGAGCCCGCCTCCTCTGTAGGCCCCGCCCACATCTCCCCACACACCTCGCCAGGCTGCCTCGGGTGCTCTAGGCCTCCACCAGGTGCTCCAGCAGGTGCAGGTGGGAGCGTTGACAAGGACTCGTCTTGTAGGCTGGGAACTGGGGACTCCTTGCAGCGCAAGACAGACGGAAGGGCACAAGGTTGGGCTCCTGGCTGGTGAGTCCTGCCTGCCATCCTGGAGCTGAGCCAGGACACTGAGTGGGGTGCTCTGGGGAGCCCTGTGGCTGCACCAGACACAGCGGGGGCTCTGCTGCCCTGCAGAGCCACAGGGAGCTCCGCGACTGGCGGGAACACGGCTCGCTCGGCATCCGGGAAGTGACCTGGCACCCAGGGCTCTGGAGCCTGAAGGCTGGCCCTGAGCCCATTTTCTCGCCCGACATTGGCTGATGAACCTCTAGGACCGGGTGCTCACCTGTGGGATAGCAGGCTTGGGAACTGGAGAAGGGAGGCGAGGCCCGCGGGGCTGTCAGTGGCCACTGCTCACAAGCACAGGGCGCTGTCCCAGAGAAGCTGGTGGCGTGGCAGGTCCAGCAACCTCTGGCTGGTCGCCCCTTTGATCCTCAATTCTCTCCACTGAAAAATGGGGATGGTGATCACTTACCTGCTGGGATCATGAGGATGACCTGAGCTGGAGGGCAGCCCTGGGATGGGACCCCGTGGCCACCTGCTGCCCTGTGAATTGGGCGATTGCCGCACATAACTGCAGAGCCTGGCACTGAGCAGGTGGATGGTGACGGTGACTGCTGAGGTTTAGGAAGGGACAGGAGCAGCTGGGGACCAGAGGACCAGGAGGACGCACAGCAGGGCATCAGCAGGGCAGGGGATTGAGCAGAAAGCAAAGAGAAGCTTCTGTGGTGCTCCCTGCACTAGCCTGAGGGTGATAGTGGCCAGGGGACACAGGCACAGTGCCCATGGGGCACATCTCCATGGAAGGTCATCTTACTGGAAGGTTTGGGGGCAGAAACTCGAGTTATGATTGTGTGATGCGCCAGGATATAGAGAAAAACATGCTCCTTATTTTCCTGGGAGGCATTCAGGAAGTTGAGTCCCCCACCCACACACACACCCCAAAAGTTGGAAAGGCTGATGGTAACAGAAGCTATCATTTATTGAGTGCCTGTTGTATACCACACACACAAAACTTGAGGGGGTTTTATCTTGGGCTGCTGCTTCCTGCTGTTTCTGGCCTCCTTGGTAGTGAGTTCTTTGTATCTTGAAGGAAGCTTGAGTTATTCAGGTGTGAAGAACAGAAACAGAACTCTGCAGGGGCACGAGGGGACCCCACAGGGGCTGCCTGGCAGTAGGCGTTCATGAGTGAGGAGGTGGCCCCTCATCCCGACATGCAGCCGAGGATTCTGAAGCCCTGATGGTGCAGGGGACAGGCCATCAGGATCAGGCCCTGTGCCCCCCCCCTGACCTGCCCCTCCCTAACTCCCTGGCATTCTCCCGAATTGAGGGCTCTTTCTGATTTCTTATGCAATTCAGATGGAAAAGCGCCCGAAGCCAGCCCCCGCTGCGGATCTGTGCGAGGCCGGTATTCAGGGACCTGGATTTTTGACCAAGCGTTGAGATGTACACCGGGTACGTGATGGACGAGGGACAGGGCCTGATCCAGGTCAGCATGAGGTGGCGGTGACTGAGTAGCCACCGGCTGCAGTCCCTGTTGAAGCAGGCCTGCAGTGGCTCAGGCACAGGGACCATCCACAACACCCTGTCACCTTGTGAGCGCCACCTCGAGAGCACCTATCTGCTCTGGGGCTCCAGAAACAGTGGCTGGCAGAGGGAGGGTGGAGCGTTTGGAAATCTGGGGTTCTGTGAAGCCGGGACCCCTCCCTCAGCACTTCCTTTGAGTCACAACCCTGTGAAACAAGGCAGGGACAAGAGGGCCCCATGGCCACAGGTGTCTGGGAGACCCTGGGTTAAGCAGCAGTGGCGTCCTTCACTACAGGACTTTTCAGACCGACCCGGGGACCGGCCACACTGGGAGGTCTTTCCTCACAGTCCCTTGGCCACGATCCTGCTTCTTGGGAAGCATTCAGGGAGTTGAACGCCAAAGAAAAAACTGTAAATGCCGACGATAACAGCAGCTGTCCTTTATCAAATGCCTGCTGCGTGCCGTGCACTGCGATGAGGACCACAGTGTTACGGTCCCCCTGTTCTGTGGGCACAATGTTGCAGAGAGGAATCCTGAAGTGTGGCTCATCCCAAGGCCTGCCCGAGGCTCCCCTGACTCCTGACAGCGACCTGATGTTTGAACCCAGATTGGCTCATAGCACCGCACATGGGGCGGCCGCTCCAGTGAGCTCTTCCCCGTCTCACCCCACCTCTGTCCACCTGGCACCCTCCACAGATGGGAACCCAAGGGCAGGCCCATCCTGCTAGAGCTCAAAGCTCCATGCCCACAGGCCAAGGCCCAGGAGCAGCCTGGACTCCCTGGGTGGGGCCAGGCCTTAGAGCCAGGCTGCCTGTGCCTGGGGCTCTCCAGGGGAAGGGGGAGAAGCCTCTGAAGCCAGGGGGTGTGGCTTGTATTGACCCCATGGACTCCGCCCCTCACTGCAGCTGGGCTGGGTTCTACCTCCATGCCCCCAGGACCCGACTCACCAGGAACCAGTCACGGGAGCCCTGACAAGGCAGGGATGACCACACCTCAGGGTTCCTCTCTGAAGTCCATGGCAGGCCGGGCTTTAGCACAGTGCCTGGTACACAGCAGGCCCCATTTGTCCCCGGGCCTGGTGACCTGTCTGCTCCCCATTAGAGAGAGGGCAGAGATCACATCTTGCTCACTGGTGGGGCCTCAGTGCCCGGCCTGTTGCACATGCTCAATAAATCCTTGCTCAGTTGAAGGGGAATTGGCAGAAACTGTTGAAGAGGGGTAGTGGCGGCCAGAAGAGAGTCAGGGTCATTGTCACTTGGTGACAGATGAGGACAGCAGCAAGACACCAAGAATTTATGGCACCCTCACTGTGTGCCAATCACAGGGCTAAATACAGAGAGCCGCGCAGTGTGAACTTGGCCCTCCACGTGTTGGTCTGTTTTCCCATGTGACAGGGAATACAAATGCAGACCTTTAAATGACAGACTGCAGGGTCCCACATGGGCCTTAGAGTGACAGTCACCCTGGAGGATCCACAGTAGTAGCACTGGCGCCGGCCTCTCTTCGTCACCTCCACCTCTGTGCGCTGGCTCACGGGACTGACCTCACTCACGGGGAGTAGAGATTAGGAGTGGAGAGCGTAGTCCTTTTACGGGTGGGAAAACCAAGGCTCGGGCAGGTGAAGGGATGTGTGTGGGGTCAGGCAGCCGAGGGCTGCCAGTGCCGAGCCAGCAGTCACACTGCCCACCCAGCGTTCTCCTGCTGACTCTGACTCCTAGAGCCCACACCCAGGGACAGAGCCTTAGCTTCCAGGCACGGCAAAGAGTGGTGGTTGGTGCCTCCGCAGATGTCTGGGTTGGGACGAGAGCACAGTTCATGCTGTTTCAGTCTTGACCTTGACCTCTTGCACTCCCTGGTTTTCCAGCGAGGAAACTGAGGCACAGCTGGAATTATGAGGCTGAGCTCCGTCCCAGGCCTTGCCTAAAGCCAGTGTCCCCATACCTGGCTACGGGGCACCAGAATCCCCTGGGACCTTTTTGGAAAAGGCAGATTCCTAGTCCTGCCCCAGCCTTTCTAGAGCACCGAGACTGGTCCAGGGCCTCTGTGCCCGGAGGTGCTCCCTGGCTGTTGTGTTGGGAAGAGCAGGGCCTGGGCGCAGGCGGCATCCAGCCTGTGTGAGGGCCTGGTGGGTGGGGAGGGGAGGGTCAGAGTCTCTGCTCCTAGGGCCCTGCCAGGCTGTGTCCCATGGGCTCTGCCTGGCTTCCTGCCATGGACCCAACCCCATGCCATCCATCTGAAGCTTCACCCATCTGAAGCGCTCTCTGGGGAGTTCAGCTGTTTCAGTCCGTCTGCTCCTGGGAGGAAGGCCCACTGGGGACTGGAGTCAGGTGTTTGCACCATGTTGGTCTCTGTGTTTCAGGGTGCACTGTCATTCCTCTGCAGGTGTGGGGTGTTCTCCTTGCCAAGCAGATCTGTGGCAGGGCCCAAGGTCTGCCCTGGGGCAGTGCAGAGCCCCCGGAGGTCTGCAATGAACAGAAAGAGCTTGATGTACCTGAGGGATTGAGATGCTGCTGTTAGCCAGGTGCCGTGGCGCATGCCTGTAATCCTGCAGCTCAGGAGGCTGAGGCAGGAGGATCACAAGTTCAAAGCCAGCCTCAGCAACAGCGAAGCACTAAGCAACTCAGTGAGGCCCTGTCTCTAAATAAAATACAAATAGGGCTAAGGATGTGGCTCAGTGGCTGAGTGCCCCTGAGTTCAGTCCCTCGTACCCCACAAAACAAGATGCTGCTGCTGGTAAAAGGCAGAGGAGGGACAAGGACTGAGGCACCTCCTAATTTTGAAGTCTGTCCTCTTAACCTCTCTCCCATCCTGGAAAAGGGGTAGCTGAACATGACCAGACGCATTTGGGGAAGGATTCCGTGGAGGTGCAGTTACTCCCCTCAGAGCACCCCGCGTTCCCCTGCACCTTCCTCCCCAGGTGTCGGCAGAGGGAGCCCAGGACGCCTCCTCTCTGTCTTTCCGATTGGGAAGCTGAGGCCCAGAAATGGTGGCACCTTGCCCAAGGTCACGCACAGAGTTGGAGACAGACCCGGGCAAGGACCCGGGGCCATCTCTGCTGGTCCATGCCCCTCTTTGCTTGCTAGGAAACTTCCCTGCCCTGAGACACAGTTAGCAGTGCCTGGTGGCATCACCCATGGGTCCTGGGCCCCTGTGGATTGCAGGGTGGCTGACGGGTCCCCTCTCTCCTCTTGTGTTTTCCAGGGTCCTACGAGTGTGGGATCTGTGGCAAGAAGTACAAGTATTACAACTGCTTCCAGACCCACGTGCGGGCGCACCGAGGTGAGCGGGTCCCAGGCCACCCCTTCTGTTCTCTGCCCACTTTCCCACTTGGGTTCCATGGGTGTCCCCAGAGAGCTCCCAGCTTTTCCAGCTCTCGCTTTCCTCTCTGCCATGGGGGAGGGCCAAGGCGCTGAGCGAGGCCTCCTTAGTGTGCGGTACACATGAACCAAGGGGCACCGCGGGGCAGGCCGCCCAGCCTCTGCCTCCAGGGCTCCCTGCCCTCCACCTGGGCTTCGTGCCTCCCGGGACACTCAGCTCTGTGTGCTGTCGGCCACCCTGCAGGGCAGGTGCTCGTGTCCTTCTGTGTGTTCCTGGTGACAGCGAGGAGTGGGCCAGTGGCTGCTGCCCATTCTGAAGCTGAGGGCCAGGAGGGCGGCACCTGCCCGCCCCCAGCCTGGCAGCGGGGAGCAAGCTGCAGACTCAAGGCTGGTTGGTGTCGGGGTCACAGAAGGCCGCAGCACGGTCCCCGGTGCTCCAGGGCCCCTCTCTGCCAGCTGCTCCACCTCCCCTCACTGTACCCGTGGCCTTCGTCCAGCTCACCTCCTTCCCACTCTCGCTCTCTCCCACAGACACCGAAGCCACCTCAGGGGAGGGAGCCTCCCAAAGCAGTGAGTACCCCGCTCCTCGTGGTTGGTTGGGGTGAAGCTGGGCTATGGGAGGAAGAGGGGGCTGTTCAGTTCATCCCTCAGGGCGCCCCCAAATTTGCTTCTGAGAGACATATAGCAGGGGTCCGGCCTCTGGAGCCAGAGGGGCCTTATATGGAAACAGAACTTGGTGCCCCACAGAAGCCAGAGGGGGGTCCTGGCATCCCCGTTCTGGGGAGGTTAACAGATGTTCTGTCCATGAGGGGTTCTCTGGCCAAAGAACTTTGGGAATCCTTGAGCTGTAATTGGATGAGCAAGCACGTGGACAAGGTGCCTGGACAGAAGCAGCCCAGGCCACCTGGGCGTCCCAGGTTCTCTGGGCACTGACTTATGTGTCTGGGGTGGTGAGCTGACCTTGGAGAAATGCTGTTCTGGGTTTCTCGTGAGCACAGCAGCCATGGTCATGATTGCTTATTGGTCTTTGCCCCAAGGTGCCATAGCCCAGCACCTGGGACCACAGGGGGCCTTGACATTTGCTTTGCTACACAGGCCCAGGCCCAATTGGGCTTCTGCCTGCCCCACACCCTAAGGGCCTGGTAAGCAGCCAACCAACTGGGTGTAGACTGGAGTGTTCACCCCTCACTGAGCTTCCAGAGCCCGTAGTTCCTCCCTTAAGTGAATATCCAAAGGCAGTGTCTGGGCTGGGCTGGGGCTCAGTGATAGAGCACTTACCTGGCACATGTGAGGCACTGGGTGTGATTCCCAGCACCACATATCAATAAGTGAATGGAATAAAGGTCTATCAACAACTGAAAAGAAAAGGAAAAAGAAATGTCTGCGCATGTTCATCAGAGATGTAAAGTCGCATATTCTTGGTGCACTAACAGCTCCCAACCAGAGGCCACCCAGATGCCATCCAGATGCCCGGGGCTGGCTGGTGATCAGCCAGCATGTTCCCCTGCTGCCATGCAGTAGCATGGAGTAGGAGAGGCCGGGCAGAGAAGAGGCTGAGGCCACAGAAGGCACAGCCACGGGGGACAGCAGAGCTGGTTGAGTCAAGAGAGGGGCCACCGGCAGGGTGGAGAGGTGGTGGGGAGGTGGTTGTCCTTGGCCTCTGAGCCAGAGGCTGGTCCCACAGGAGTGACCATGTTTGCTTACGATCCGTGCACTTTCCTGCGCCAGGGGCCAGGATGACTTTCTGGAGAGGGCCAGGTGCTGAGCAGCTCAGGCCACAGAGGCCCAGCGTCTCCACACAGACACTCAGCCCTGCCCTTGTAGCAGGAACTCTGTCAGGGATGGTCTGCAGCTGAGTCCTTAACCAGGGGAAAAGGCAGGACACCAGCCAGTGAGGGTCACTGGGCCCCAGCTCTGAAGCCACCTACACTCCTAGCTGTGGACCTTGGGTCGGTCTCTTCTGGTCCTCAGTTTCCTCCAGCAGAAACGGGAGACTGCTTTCTTCCTCTGTTGCAAAGACTAACCGAGGAGGCACAGGGAAAGGCTGGCTCCTTGCACATGCTCACCCCATTCCTGTGGAAGCTGCAGTGATCGTTATATTCACATAATTTCTGTGTCGGGAGGTGAAACCTGTTAGGAGCCTACAGCGAGTGGCTCTAGGAGTCGTTTCCAGGCTCCCTGGTCACCTCCACAGAGACCCCCAACCCCCCAACCCCAGACCTGTGGATCCAGAAGCGTTCCAGGTCTGGCCTGGGGGGGAGGGCACTGAGTGGCCCTGATGTACACATGGGAGGGGCTCTGTTGAGCGATGTCCAGGCTGGGCCATGGCCCTCCCAGGTTCAGAAGAGGCCGCAGTGCCAAGGCCCAGGTGGCTCTGGAGTGGATTCTCCAAACTGCCGTCCAGCTTTGGTTCCAGGGGCAGATGCACTGGCCAGAAACCCCAACCCAGGTGACTGAAGCCCTGGCCAACACATGTCTTTCCTGCCCTCGCAGACAACTTCAGGTACACGTGTGACATCTGCGGGAAGAAGTACAAGTACTACAGCTGCTTCCAGGAGCACCGGGACCTGCACGCCGTGGATGGTGAGCCCCACCCCTGCCCACAGCCTCCTCTCACCCAAAGGAAGGTCAGGCAGCAGTCAGAACCACGAGGGGGGTGAGCCACCTTGGAGGATCCTGGGGGAGGGAGTGTCCCTACCTTTGTCCGCATATGCTCCTGTTAGGTGAAGCCAAGTGAAATCGCCATCTTTACAGGTCAAAAATCAGTCGAATATTGAAATTTCATATCGTGTCATTTTTCTATTTTATATTGAGCATTTGCATGCTCTACTGAAATTAAACCAATTTTTAAAAATGAATGATGACATTTTAGCATCTTAGATTATGGAGCTTGAAATTAGAACAATAAATTTAGGTAGTTAATTTGTAGAGTCTTAAGAATCCTGGAGAACCGGTGGTGGACCTGGAGAGCACCTGGGGCCTCCCACTCCGATCCCGCCTGCGGCTTGTCTGAGCCGCAGCTTGGCTTCTCTTCCCCTCCATGTCTCTTCCCCTTTGCTCCTGCTCTGGCCCTTGAGAGCACATAGATGACCCAGAAACAGGTCCAGGCAGAAAGCATCTGCAGGCCCCAGGGGGTGGGCACCTGCTGGGGTAAGGAGGGAGCTGGAGGCGCAGGCTGTCCTGGGGATATGCCCTCCCCATGGAGGGGACAGAGGACCCCTCACACCCCAACCCCAGCCCTGTGGATCCAGAAGCGTTCCAGGTCTGGCCTGGAGTGGAGGGGGGTGGCACTGAGTGCTCTCTGGCCTTCCACACTGGCTCAGGAAGCACTCCTGGCCCCAAGGGCAACCCCTGAACTGAGGCTGGGGGCAGGGGACAGTGGACAGAGGCAGTGACGGGCAGGGACTAACAGGGCTCTCGTCTGCTTCCTTCCCTCTGTGGCTGCTGCCTCCTGCCCTGGCACAGTGTTCAGTGTGGAAGGGGCCCCCGAGAATCGGGCAGGTAAGTCCTTGGTGGCTGCCTGCCTTCCCTGTCCCCTTCTGGGCTCCCGAGACCTGGACGACGAGGGTGCTAAGGACCGTGTGTTCTCCCACAGACCCCTTCGACCAAGGTGTTGTGGCCACTGATGAAGTGAAGGAGGAGCCCCCAGAGCCATTCCAGAAAATTGGGCCAAGTATGCGGGACTCTGGGGCCGGGGCTGGGCGGGGCTGGCTGAGGGAGGCAGGGCTGCAGCCCGTCACTGGAGCGGTGGCATCTCACCCTGCAGCCACAGTGCCCACCTGTCACCCCTTGGGCTGGGCAGTCCCAGGACATTAGTTCTCCATGAGCTGGGGACAGCAAAGGGTCAAGGTCAGGGCAGTGCAGGTGGCCAGGCCCCGGGCTGAGCCAGGGCTCTCCCACCCACCTCTCGGTTGTCCTCGCAGTCTGAGCCATCCTGCACCTCGGCCTCCCCTCCTGTGGGTGAGGACGACACTCCTGCAGGCTTGTTGGGGGATTAAATGAGATCACGGACAGAAGCTGCTTGTCAACACAGTGCCTGGTACATAGTTGGTGCTCAGACGGTAGCTTAGTCACTTGAAGGGGCTTAGCTGTGGATGAGGCTGTGCGGGCAGCTGCCTGCAGACACTCCGTCCCACTCCCATAAACCCCCTTGAGGACAGGAGTCATCCGTGTGACCTGTTTCCAGCAAACTTAGACTTGAGCATTGTGGGGACACAGCAGTGAGCAGGACAGATGTGTAACTCCCACGGGGGTCGGGGTAGGGGCAGTAGACAAGTAGTTAACCGAGCAGAGAATCCCAACCCAGAGAGGAGCTTGGGGAGCTTGGGAGCCCGGGGAGTCCAGCCTTGGGAATCCAGGTTGGGGACAGGGTGGGGAATGAGCTCTCACATCACATTGCAAAGGCAGGAGGGGGCGCTGGTTCTGAGAAAGGAAAGGAGAATTGGTGAGGAGCTCAGGTCTCAGGGCTCTGGGTGCAGAGGGTGGCACCCTGAGTTCCTCCTCACGGGAGTGAGCAGAGCCTTTGCCAAGTGGGGAGGAGTTTGACCAGGTTTGCATTTCAGGAAGACCAGTGTGGCTTCTAGGAGGAGGAGGGATCGCGAGGGGACTGGTGGCCAGCCTGGGGAGGTGTGTCCAAGAGCATTTGCAAAAACAAAGAACAAGGGGGTGATGGAATCCAGGTGGGTGGAAATCAAAGGAGCCATAACACCGACATCAGCTTGCCCCCCAGAGGGAGCCCGGTACAGCCCAGCGAAGGCTGGGTCCCCCAGAGGCTTGTTCTTCCTGGTCAGAGGATGGTTCTTGGTTTTCTTCTTAAAGCATTTAGGAAACTGCAGAGGAGATAATGTCTGCAGAGTGGATGGCACAGTGCCCGCCACATGCATAGTGAACCCTCGGTGGACGGGGCGGCTGGAAGTCAGATGTCCCAGAGGGAACACAGATCTGAACCATACAGGTTCCCAGCATAGTCAGTGGGCAGGTCGGACGTCCATGTCAGAATGAGGACAGAGGCAGCGTTCCGTGCTCTCCCGACTGTCCACTGTGTCCCCAAAGCCCCACCCTTCCAGCTGTGGCATCATTATTTTGAAGACAGGCTTTGACTCAGGCCTGGGTATGGAGGCTGGTGTCACCTTCCTTGGGTGCCTACCCCTCTGAGAGTCCCTTGACTCACCTGTAAATTTGACCTGTTCTCCAGGACAGTTGTGTACACAGAATGTCCAGCCCCACACCTGGCTTAGGCTGGGGGTGACAAACGAGGCATGTTACTGAGAGATGCTCTCCATTTGCCAGCTGAGTGATGTCCGGCGAGTTTTCTAATCTGTGTGACCTTCAGTCTCTTTAAACTGACATGGTGTGATAACAATAAGACTCTCCTTCCAGGATTGTCCTGGGATTAGGTGGGACGATATGAGTAAGGGAATTAGCACAGTCCTTGACACCTACTCGGGAAGCATTAGATCAGCGGGACCTGTTAACCCCAGGAAGATGCAAAGCAAGATGAAACTTGTTCTGTGTTTCTGGAAGTACCTGATAGACAACCCGTGCTAGGACCTGGGAGGAATTACCACAGGTTATTAGGAGTGTGGAGTTGCATCAGGTCGATCAGACTGGGTCCAGCTGCCAGCTCTGTGTGATGGAGCAAGACAGCTGTGTGAGGCCGTCGCCTGCTGCCACTCAGAACCCTCCTTGGGAGAGGAGTGTTGTTTCTAGAGCTTCTGCAGCTCAGGCCAGTGCCACAGGACCTAGAAACAGCCAAGCAGAGGGCACAGGCTCCAGTGGAGGCACGGGGCATTCTGAAGACACTGACTACCCCAGGTGAAGCTCTGCAGGTCCAGGGGAGAGGGGCAACCCTGGCAGCAAGCATGCCTTCCCTGTGGCACCGGCTGAGCAGTGAGACAGTCGCATGCTTAATTAGCAGGGTGTTGGGTGGGTGTCACCTCGCCCTTCAGCTGCAGACCCGAGAGTCACCACTGTGATCACGGGAAGAGGAAGGATTGGACAGTGTGTTCATGTTGCCTATTAAAACAGTAAAGTGGGATTCGTTTCTGGCTTACGTGACCTTTATGCCTGGATAAGGAAGAGTCACTTGGAAAACAAACAAGCAAGCGTGGGACCCCACATCACTAGAGAAAGAATTTAGGAGACTCCAAGGAGGAGCCTCTCTCTCAAAGTGATCTTCCACAAAACCTAAATGAAAAAATTTTGATGTCTTCAATCAAGTATAAGGAAGTGTGACCTACCTTAGCCACTTGGGCTGCCGTAACAGAAGACCAGACCTAGACCTGGTGGCTTCACAGAAGTTCATTTCTCACGGTTCTGGAGGCTGGAAGTCCAAGGTCAGGATGCCAGCATGACCGGGCTCCCTCTCCTCCTGGGTTGCAGGTGGCCTGCTTTTCCCTGTGTCGTCATAGGGCAGAGAAGCAGGACCAGAGGTCCCGTTGGACATCTGGAGTTTCTTCCCCACCTCAAAACCTCATCTGACCCCAACAGGAGGGACACAGTTCTGCCCGTAGCAGGAACTCCCCAAAGAGGAGCCTCAAGTTGTAGGGTAGAGAAGCAAAAGGGCAAGAGGAAGGTGTGAGAGGAGGAGGGTCCTGGCGCAGCAGGACGGTCAGATCAGAGTGCAGGACGGTCAGATCAGAGTGCAAACCCCCACTGATTAGGAGGATGTTGGGTGGGTGTCAACTCGCCAGGGTGTCCAGGGCAGAATCAGCCTGAAGAAATGGAACTGGAGAGGGACATAGTTAAATTCTGAGGGTAACAAGGAACACGTGATGAATACAGACAGCAGGGGACCTTCCAGGTAGCTGGTGGAGGGACACCACTGGGACGGAGGCGGCACTCCGAGATCTAACAAAAGAAAACGTCGCTCAGGCGCAGGAAGACCTGGATGTGCAGATTTACCAATTGCTCATCCTGGGTCACGTGGAGTCCACGTAGAGCCCTTTACCTAAATAGATCCTGGTGACTTTTTAAAACAGCTATAAAGGGAAATGCTCCGCCGGCATCCAGGCGTGGGGAAGCCAGTCACCTACATACGAAGGCAAGGTACACTTGCCTCAGAACCGTGCAGCATGAAGTGCTGAAAGAGAAGAGATGTGTTTTAAAAGGGGGAGAGGATTGATCTGAGAATTTTTTATCAATTATGATTAGTACATAAAAAAGCAAGGGCTCAGAAACATATCGTTTCTCCTATGTGCCCATCTTCAAAAAAATTATTCGAAACTCTGTTCCAGGGAGCTAAGCCGTAGAGCACCGGAAAGGGCTCAATTTTGGAACTGGTGAGAGAGGAGCAGGGATGCAGTAAAGTAGGCTGAACCTTTCCTGCTCAGCGAGGAATACCACACTGGAAGCTTGCTTTAAGATGAATTCTTAGGTCCTAACACGGATTCCTGAGATCCGAATCTCAGTGGAGCCCCGTGACCTGTGTAAGAGTCTTTCCAGGTGATGTGTAAGTGAGCCCAAGTTGAGAAGCCCCCGAGTTAAACTGTATTTCTGTGTGATAACAGACTTAAAAATCTAACTTTCCACCTGCCAATTGACTATTAGAGAAATATATCTTAAAAAGTATATTAGAGCAAAGCAAAGAGTTCACAGACCAAATACCTGGAAACCAATGGAACAAACCAGAAAGGGCATGAAAAGGAGAAAAGATGATAAGGGTCATTATTGCAATGCTTGGGACCAGAAGTGTTTTGGATTTGGGATATTTTTTCCCCTGACTTTGCAAGATCTGCATCTACTTAATGAGATACCTTGGGATGGAGCCCATGCCTAAACATCAGTCATTTTTTTGTTTCCTAACCACCTTACGCATGTAGGCTGAAGATGATCTTATAAAGTATTTTAAATAATTTGGTGCACGACCAAAGTTTTGTGACGTGGAATTTTCTATTTATGGCATCTGGTCAGCTCTCAAGTTTCAGATCTTAGAGCATTTCGGATTTCTGGACTAGGGACGCTCAGTTTGTAAAACCAAATCAATGAGAGCAGTAAAAGCAAATGGCATCATCTCCTCTTTTAGAAGCCAAAAATTGTCAAGTTAATCTAAAATAATCCAATTACTAACCGTTTATTAGAGACATACGTGGTTGATTCCTTATCTTTTACCCTGAGCCATGCTCTTTCCGAGGTGCCATTTTCTGCGTCCTTAAAGAGATTTAAACCCCCCTCTTGGGTTTTCACGGCACTGTGTAGGTTTCTCTCAGAGCACCTGTCATGTTGCAGATGTCATGTTTTAAATTTGTTGTGTGGCTACTTGGTTTTTCCGTCTCTGGTTCCTGACCAAAACTCCTGGAAGACAGGAATCGTGCCTGTTTTGGCTTAGGATTCTGTGTGGGCACTTAGCACAGTCCAGTCAGTCAAAGTGCAAGGATCGGGTCTGTAGGTGCATGCAGACAAACAGGTAGCAGAAACCAACAAATTTCCAAGAAGCTGACATTAACGCCAGGCCAATAAAACAGCTCACATGTTAGAGCAGCAATTCTTCAACTTCCCCATGCATTGGAACGTTCTTGTTCCAACACCACATCAGTTGGCTCCACACCTAGAATTTTCTTTCAGTGGGTCTCGGGGGCAAGTCGGGAGAATTAGCATTTCTGAGGTTCCCAGGAGTGCTGACATTGCTAGTCCAGAGGAGAGCTGTATTAGAAGATGGTTTCATGTTCATGAAGGATACACATGATACAGTTCCTCATGAAGATTTTTATCAGGTAACCCTTATGTATCAAACAACATTGTGTCTAAATATACATAGTAAATTTAGAAATGCAATGAAATGGGAGGATTTATCACCACATTTTATCTTTGCAAGAGCAACTAGACAAACAAGATTATGTAAGATTTGAATAATAGAATGAATACAGTTGATTACTTGGAAGCCCATAAACAGCAGGTAAAATACCTATCTTTGCCAGCGTTCATGAGTCAGTTACAGAGATTATTTAACAAAAGAATTCTGAATCTCTCTATACTGGGAGTGGAAAAAAAATAAAAACAGACCAAGAAACCAATTAAGAAAAAAGACTTGTAACATATATAACAAAATGTTGATATCCATAACCTACAGAGTTTATTGATTTTTTTTTTAAAGGGCAGATAGACCTATTGAAGCACTGGCCATAAACGAGAAGAAAGTCACAAAAGAAAAACTGTAGTTAATTAAACATGAAAATAATCAATCTTGTTAGAAATCAAAGAAATGGAAAATAAGCCAGTCGTGCAGTAGAGTTCTCCCTGCTAGATCTGCCAGATGCAGGCAGAGGACCATACCCAGCGCCAGCTGCAGAGTACAGAAACAGTCCTTCTCGTGCCTTCTGGGTGGTGTGGGGGTGCTGTGCTTACCCAGAGCCTTAAAAATGCAAACCCTTTCCCCACCTCTTGTAATACACCCTGAGGAAATAACATAGGGAGATTCTGTGTCGTGACCTGTATTTTGCAATCACTTGCAAAACTAACAAGCAAATGTGCAAAACTTTCTGTAAGGATGTGGTCACAGCATTTTTGGTTTTGGGGTTTTTTTTTGTTTTTAAATAAGGGGGAAATTTTTTTGAAACGCTTTAAATGTCCCTTGGTGGAGGGGACTGGCTCAGCGAATTCCAAAGTCCCGTGGGAGCCATGCAGCCAATAACGGCTGCAGAGATCGATACTTATTGACTGGGCAAGATGTCCACAAAGGATTGTCGATTGAATACACTAGGTTACAAAGAGGATATTGATCAGGGCCGGCTAATTCAAGGCCACAGGAGCCAGACAAATGATATCAAGAGAGAAGCATGCCCCAGAGGAGCAGAGTGCAGGGTGGGGTCGGGGCCAGAGGACAGGTTCCTCTCTGCTTCCATGGGGTAGAGGCTCTCTGTTTGGGGATTACAGGTGATTGAAATTTCTCTTTATTTTTAAAAATTTGTACTTGTATTTATCAGTATTTTATAATTTTCCCCCAGTGAACAATATTACATCAGACATTTTTAAGAAGAAAGAAGTTAGGCAAAGCCAAAAGAGAGGTAAAGATAAAGTCTAGTGGGGCCTGAGAGGAAGAACTGACCTTGCTGCCCGTGGGAGGGGGGTGCCTGGGGACAGGGAAGGTCCCCCGAGAGGCGGGACCCTGGGTGTGGCCCCTGCAGAGGGCAGGGCTTACAGAGGACTGGTGGAGAGAGTGACATTGGAGGCCAGCTGGGGTCACGGCCCGGGTGGGCTTGGGTGGAGCGATGGAGGAGGACAGCATGTGCCAGGTACTGTTCTAAGCACTTGACAGACACATTTAATCCTCACAGCAATCCTATAAGGTGGTCCTACCATTAATTCCATTTTGCAGTTAGGAAAAGTGAGGCACAGAGAGGGGTTTGGAGACTTATCTGAGGGTACACAGCTCAAAATGGCTGAGCTGGGATTTGAACCCAGGCCTTCTGACTCCAGAGTCAGAGTGGATTCCAGCTGGTGGTCCCAGAAGGAGGAGGAGTTGGGTGGGGATGCTGATGTTTCTGGGTGGGGCCGGGTGCCCGTTCTCACACGTCCTCTCCTCCTTGGACAGAAACTGGGAATTACACCTGCGAATTCTGCGGGAAGCAGTACAAATACTACACGCCCTACCAGGAGCACGTGGCCTTACACGCCCCCATCAGTGAGTACCTTCTCCCGTGGGGTGGGGGTGGGGAGGGCAGGGTGGGGCAGCAGGGCCAGCCCTTGGCCAGTCTCAAGCTCTGCCAGGGAAGGGGGAGAGCCTTTGAGTCAGCTGTGGTCGCTGGATGTGGCTGGATCTGTTCCAGGGCCACCTGACCACAGGGGCTAGCGTAGCTCGGCAGGCCCCATCTTAATCCGGCAGGGTCGGACCCCTCCCGTAATGGTCTCAGAAGTCTAGGGCCCATGTAGACTTGTAGATAGGAAGGTGGGTGTCATTTGTCCAAGTCCTGCAATGGCCTTGTCCCCACCTCCTTGAGTACATCCAGATCATGAGGTTCCTGGTTCCTAGCCCAGAGCCAGCAGTCCGTGATGCCTCAGTGTCTGAGCAGATGCAGAAACTGGCCCAGATAGGGGTGTGGCTGACCCAGACAGACAGCTACCTCTCTGCCTTGAGCAGGACCAGTGAGGGGGAGGAAGCGCTGAGCAGGAAATTGGGGGCCCTGGGTGTGGAGGCTTGCTGGAGAGGTGGTAGCTCCCCTCTTGCTCTGACCCACAGTCCCTCACTCCCCGCCTGGCAAAGACAGGCCCCAAGTCCCCTCCCTGCAGGGACACAGGCGTCCATTCTCCTTCCGTTCTCCCGATGATGCCTGTCGGCCCACTTGCAGATTTCCCAACACTCCTTCCACATGTCAGAGGGAGGGGCTCCGTCCCAAGTCTGTGCGGTAGGAGGCTCTCAGTCCTCCACCCCAATCTGTGAGGTAGGGAGCCCTCGGTCCTCCCCCCTCCTGCAGAGGAGGAGAAACCTAAGCTCTGACGGGCAGGGCCTCTGGGGCAGCTCCGGGCATCTCAGGGCAGCGGGGCCCGGGGTTGGGAATCCATGGCAGAGCCTTGGGGATCCCACCCCAATGGATGGACGGGAGACTCAGGTCAGGAGGCTACGGGAAGCGCTCACAAGGGTCCCTGGGGTTCAAGCCCCTCACAGTCTGGGAGACCCCAGACCCTTTGGGCCCTGTGAATAGCAGCACAGCAGGGGCCTCTGGAAGGTGCTGGGTGGGGGTGGAGGGCGTTGTAGGCAGCCTCCGGCAGCTGTCCCCTGCTGGCAGAGAGGTGGAGATGAAGCTTGTCTCTAGGGGCAAGAGCTTCAGTCCTGATGTCCGGCACTGGCCGGGATTCCTGACCTGGCCTGACCCTTGACCGCTGCATGATGTTGATGGCTGTTCCCTTCCCAAGTTTCCCATCCGTGGGAATTCTCAGGGCCTTGCAGCCCAGGATGGAGATTTCCAGCACCTCTGGCAGACACCTGCTGTGGCCCCGGTGCCCACTGCAGAGCCAGCTCATGTGTAGGGGGAGAGCATAGAGTTCCTACTGGGTGGGCACCAACCCAGCCATTTGAGTGACCCCTGGTGCTGGTGCGCAGACGTCAGGGCTGTTTGTGGGCAGCTGTTCTCTGGGCTGTCCAGTGAAGCGGTGACTTCCTGGTGTCAGAGGGTGTGCCCCAGAATGCACTGGCTCACGTGAGGGTAGGTACGAGGCCACCTGCACTCACTCTCACCCTGGGGGGATATCTTCAGTGCTGCTTCTGTTTTCCACCTATCGAGTTGAGTGAGGTCAAGGAGCTTGGCTTTGAACCTGCCTGGACTCCAGGCCCATGCTCGATCGCTCAGCGGTCCCACGCAGCATGGTGGACATGCAGTAAGAAGGTGATGCAGAGCTTACACCCTACGCTTCTTCCCGAACGTCCTCATGCTTCATCTTCTAAAGGGCCGTCTCTTCTTTTTCCTGTTTCTTATTTATTTTTCTTTCTGTCGTAGATCCTATTTATTTATTTTTCTGTGTCTATCGAGTGAACCTCTGTTCCTTGCTGGAGTGTGGGGACTCTAGCTACATCTGTGTTTCAAATACAGCATGAGAGGTATAGGCTCGATTCAGCAGGATTGGTTCTCCAAGGCTAAACAAGAGACAGTCGTTCTGACGGACCACGGACATGGAGATTGGCATGCTGATAGGGTCTGTGTAAGCCGTTTGCCCATTTTGGGGGTGAGTCCACTGTCTTTCTGTTAACTGTAGGAGCTCTCTGCACATTCCTGCTGGCCAGGTCCTTTGTCAGACACAGGAGACCAGGCTGAGTTCCCCCAGGATCTGCCGGGCCTGCTGGTTTCCGCGCAGTGCCTCCTGGTGCACAGGTGTTGGTCATTTTGATCAAGGGCTATTGATCTACCGTTAGCGCTTTCTGGGACCTAACTCAGGGGTAGCCTTGCCCACCTCAAGGTGGTGGACACATCCTCCTTTAGACAGTTCTAACTTATGCATGTGGGTCTGTGAGCCACTTGGAGTTATCGTTTGTGAATGATGTGAGCTGTGTCAGTCAGGATTTGTTTCCAGCCATGCAGAGAGGTACCTGGGTGTTCCTACCCCGTCTGTGCACAAAGATTTCTGTCCTTTTGCAGTGCATCGGGTAGATGTCTTCCATGGGTCTCATTAAGGTATCACTAAGTATTTCGTGTGTGTGTGTATGTGTGGAGGGGTGTTTGTTTGTTTGTTTTTGATGCTACTCTGATTTTAAAATTTAATCTTCTAATTTTTGTTGCTATTATCTATGAACAGTTAATTTTTCGTATATTGAATTGGCCTCTTGCAACTTGGCTAAAACTGCTTATTTAACAGGTGTTTGTAGATTTCTTAGCCTCTTCTTTGCACTTGATGAGGTCACCAAGCTAAAAAAAAAGTCAGTGGTGCTTCTCTCTTTCCAGTCTGCACCCTCTTCGTCCACTTATTTCTTTCCGACCTTGCTCGGTTAGGGCCCCTCGGCACTGTGTCGAACAGGGGAAACCAGCCGATGCGGCCCCTGGCTCCCGGTCATGGGCGTCCGTTTCTCCTCACCGTGAGCATCAGCACTTCCGTCCAGGGGTCTTGTTGGCTGAAGTGGCTTTCTCGGGGGCTCTTTTTTGGTCAAAGTTGCCTTCCTCCATGCAACACTAGAAGTTCTTATTGTAAATTAATGTTGAGATGATGGGGCGGATTCTCATCTTTTATCCCTTTAGTGTGGTAAATTACATGGGTTTTGGGTGGGGGGAAAGGGAGGTCACCAGGCCTACGCTTTATTCAGATAGATGAAGACTATCAGAAAGTCTAACTGTGATGAGATGGAGGAAGCCGCAACCTCACGATGTTCCTTCTTTGCCAGAAGAATGATCTCCTTCTTTAAACATCTTTTTTTTTCTGATAGTACACGTCTAGGGGTTCAACTTGATGATTCGATGTACAGGTATATGTGTGTGATAATCACCACACCAAGTTCTTGCAGAGACACCCAAAGTACTTGAAAAGCCCAGGTAGTTTATACAATTAATTTGCTTTCAAGAGTGTGCGTTCTGCTTACTCCTTAAAGAGTTTACAATTTCTCAGGATTTTACCTGTTTTTTAAGCACTCCCCAAACTCTCCAAGGGTGGGGAACTGAGTCCTAGGATCATAGACTACCCCACATTCAACCCGTTGTGTATTAATGAGAGTTGTAATCAAGGAAATAAGTATTTCTAGTAAAAAAAAAATTTATAAAGTTTTTGAGGTATATAGTCATACAATAAAGTGCCTGTGATTTAAAGTATACAGTTTAATAAGTTCTGACCTTCGTATGTACCCATGAAGTGATCACCAAAATTCAGATCATGGACAATATGCCTCACTCCCAATACTTCCCAGGGTCCTTTTTAATTCCTCGATTGTCATCCCCTGGCCAACACTCATCTGCTTTATATTACCGTGGAGTAGTTTGCCTACAGTTTCACATATATGGAATCTTACAGGACGTACTCTTTTTTTTTTTTAACCTGGGGGGAAATCTGGCTTTCACTCAGCATAATCTTTTCCTGAATCTTTTCCATGTTTGCAGGTATCAGTAGTTCATCCTTCTAATTAGTGAACACAGTCACGCATTTGCTTAGGGATGGATTCACACTGGAAAAATGCATTGCTAGAGGGTTTCATTGTTGTTCATTAAAGAGTGTGCTTCTACAACCTGAGATGGCCATATCACTACGTGTTCTCATCTTATGGGGCCACCATTAGGTACATGATCTGTCTGTCATCAACCCAAATATCATTGTGCAGTGTGTAACAAGTAGCATTCATTGTCTAGGTGTACAGGCCACAGTTTCCCCTGTCTGTTCATTTGTGAATGGTCATTTGAATTTTCTTTTCCAGTTTGGTCTTTGTAGGAAGGATTATTTAGAAAATGTATTCCATTTCCAAGTATTTGGGAATCAGAGTTTGGGGATTGATTTCTAATTTAATTCCATTGTGCTCAGAGTACATACGTAGTGTGACCGCTTGTCTTCTGAATTTGTTGAGACATGTTTTATGATCTGACATATGGTCTTACTTGCTGATATTCAGTACCCAAATGCCTTTTATGTTTACCTGCAAGGAAAAAAGAAAAAGAAAAAAGAATACACCCCTCTGCACACTTCTATATGGTGTATACTGTAGTAGGTCAGGTCAGTGGTGCTGTTCAAATCTCTGTGCCCTTTGAATTAGTCTGCTTGCTTTGCTGTGACAAAATACCTGAGAAAAACAAAAGGGGGAAAGGTTTATTTTGTCCTGAGGTTTCAGTACATGGTCCTCTGGTCCAGCTGCTTTTAGGCCTGTGGAGAGGCAATACATCAGGACAGGAGCATGTAGAAGAGACACGCTGCTCCCCTCATGGCAGGCAGGATGCAGAGAGAGCTCACTTTTTATAACAAAGCTCCTCCCCAAGCATTAAACAATAATCCATCAGTGAATTAATCCATTCATGAACTGAGTCCTCATGGTTGAATTGCCTCTTAAAAGCCACATCTCTAGATACTGCCTCCTTGGAAATCAAACCTTCAACACATGAGCTTTTGGGGACCTTTAAGAGCCAAACCATCACACCTGTTCTTGACTTTTTTTGTTTAGTTTGTCTTATCGGGTACAGAGAAGGAAGTGTTATTTCCCTTTTTTAGGTCTTCCAGGTTTCGATTCATCTTACTTGAAATACTGTCATTAGGTGTACACACTGGTGTCATGTCATGATGAGTTGACCGTTTTTAAAACTGTGCTATGCCCTTCTTTATCTCTGATGATACCTGGTTTTCTGAAATCTTCTTGTCTTCCTTTGTGAATTAGGGTTTGCATCGTATATTTCTTTTCACCTTTTTCTTTTAGTGTATTTATACCTTTATATTTGAAGTGTAGTGTAGTTGGTTCTTGTTCTTTTATCCAGTGTAGTGATCTTTGCCTTTTAATTGAAGTGTTTAATCCATTTATGTTTAATATAATTTATTGATGTGGTTGGATTTAAGTCTAACATCTTGTATTTTTTCTACTCGTTCCATTTGTTCTTGTCATTTATCCTTTTCTCTTTTTTGCCTTCTTTCGAATTAATCAAGGTGGGGTTTTTTTGTTGCTTGTTATTTTACTTTCTGCTAGTAATTCTTTTTCACACTGTGGTTTATATTATGTATCTTTAATGTATTATCACTTATCATGAATGTATATCATATACATAACATCCAGTGTAGAAGCCTTGCAATGATATACTTTTTTTTTCAGTGTCGAGGATTGAACGCAGCGCCTTGCACCTGCTAGGCGAAATGCTCTGTCACTGAGCCACATCTCCTGCCCCAACAGTATACTTCTTATTGCTATCTTCCTAGTCTGTGCTGTTCTTATCTAAGAATTGCTCTTTTAGCTTTAAACAGCTAAGTATTTGTTAAAGTAGTTAAGAATTGAAAAAATGCCTTTTATGTTTACCCACATATGTGCCATTTTCTGCTTTCTTTGTATAAATATGAATTCCTTCTATTACCATTTTTCTCTGTTCCTGAAGAACTTCCTTTAACATTTCTTACATTATAAGTCTATTGATGAAAGGTGCTCTCCACTGAGATGTTTTTATTTCATCCTCTCTTTTGAAGGATATTTCCTCTGGATATGGAATTCTAGGCTAAAGTTTTGTCTATCTGAGATTTATTGAGCTTCTTCAATCCGTTTATGTTTTTATAAGAGTTTGGGGAGTTTTTAATCAGTATTTTTTCAGATATTTTTATGTAATTTTTCCTTCCTATTGAGACTTTAATTACATATAGATGCACATTTGATAATGTGTACAGATCAACTGAAGCTGTTCATTCTTTGAGCTTTGTTGAAAGAATACGTCCATTGCATATATTTTATGCTTCTGGTTGGAAATATTCTGCTGCCCTGTCTTCAAATTCACTGATCTTTTTTTCTGCAGCATCTAATCTCTGTAAGTTCCATTGGTTCTTTTTTTAAAGCTTTCATTTTTATCTTCATTATATTTGTGTTTCCCTTTAAAACGTAATTTTTTTCCCTATTAATGAGGATTGAACCAAGGTCCTTGCACTTGCCAGGCTAATGCTGTGCCCCTGAGCTGCAAGCCCAGCCCTCCTTAAACCCTTGGAGCATATTTATAATAGCTGTTTGTCTCCTAATGGCATCATCCCTCTCATTTCTGCGATGCAGTTGACTGGTTTTCCTCTTGGTTGCTAATCTCAGTTTCCTACCTGGAGAATACTCATTCTGTTCTGCACACTGGAATGTTACCTTGTGGAGTGACTGGATTTTGGTTTTTCCTTTGGAAAGTGCTGACCGTGAGTGGCGAGCAGCTATTTACTGACAGATGGACTGGATACTTCAAAAGCTTGTTTTCAAGCAGGGAGGGCCCGTCTGGAATCCTTCTGATTCCAGGGTGACACTAGCTCCTTTAGCACACGGCCTTTCTGGGTCTCCGTTGAACCTGTGACCCATTCAGCACCGTTGCTGCTCTCGGGCAGGTGGGACAGCCCTGGCCTTGTGTGACCTCCTGATCTTGGCTCAGTCGCAGCCCTCTGCTGTCTGTCTTGAGCTCAGCTTTGCAGAGAGCTGCACACATGCAGTTGAAGACTCAGCCAGAGACATCCAGGGGGCCCTCTGCACATTTCTGGAATTCTTTCCTTTGCACAATTCTCTTGATTATTCTGCCCTGTGAATTCCAGCCACCTCAGAAGTCCCGGCCGTGAGAGCTTTCTCTGCAGTTCAGTGGGTGGCGTGCTTCCTCTGGAAACTCCTCTGTGCCCTGCTCCAGAAGGTAGAGCTCTGGGCAGAGGTCTGGAGCGGTTCGGGGGCTCGTGTCATCTGATGAATCACAGTTCTGACCACCTGGGATCAAGGCCTGTCATCGTGGGTCATGGTCGCCATTCCAGCTTTACAGAGGAACATGGCAGGAGGGTGGTCCTCACAGGCACTCCATCATGGCCCGAGTGAGGAAGGGTCCCCGTGCCGGCTCCTCGTACCTCATGCCTCCCATCCACTCCCTTCTCCAGATGCTGAGCCCAGGGCTCCATCAGCCTTGAAGTCACCCTCCTCTCCCTTGTGGGGTCTCAGAGACCCTGGTCTCTTACTCTCTTAGTTATCTGATCACTTCACTCAAATCCCTGTGTTCCTGTGGGGTTTTTTGCCCCAGTTAAATTCCCAGCGTTCCAAAGGGGAGGCCCAGTGCTGTGTCTTCGGGTATCTGATGTGTGATGGCTCCTGTGTTTCTGACACGGGAAGCCAGCCAGTTTGAGGAAGGGATTCCAGCGTTCCACGTAAGATGGAGCAGACTGTGGGTGACTTGAGCAGGGAGCCTGGGGAACTCGTCCTGGCTCAGCCCTGGCCCTGTGTGGCTCTCAAGTGGTTCCCAGAATCTCTCTGAGCTTCTGTGGCCCCACCGGCCTCACACCCTCGGGGCCAGTGAGAGGGTGACGGGTCAGATAGCTTTGTGCCCTGACTGTCCCCTTGTTGGCATCCCCTCTCTGACGCTCCCTGCTTCCGTGTTCTGGGTTCTGCTCTCCTGGCAGCCATGGGGGCCGCGGTTTCTGCTGAGCACTCCCTGTGTGTCGGGGAGGACCGGGGACTCCATGCGTGGGGTGAGGGGTGGCAACGGGAGCGCCCCTCCCTCAGGAAGCTCGCAGGCTGATGGGGAAAGAAATATGGCCACACAGCGTGTCATTGTAAATGATGGTCAGTTCTGGGGGGCTAACAGGTGGCCAGGTGAGGAGGGACCAGGAAGGACTCCCTAAGGAAGAGCTGTTTCAGGTTAGCATACGGGAGCAGCAGGCAGAGGGAATGATTGGGTGTTGGAGAAGGTGAGAGCCCTGGGCCAGCCCTGGAGAGGCCAGCAGGTCCTGGCAGCACATAGGTGAAGGCCCGCTTCATTAGATCAGGGGCTGCATGGTGTCCCTTGGGCCCCTGCCGCAGAGAAAGCAGGGCTGTCCCCAGGAATGCCAGGTTTTGACAGCAGAAATCCACCATGAGAGGGGCCAGTCTAGAGAGGGTCCTGGAAAATGTCCTGCAGGGCTGCAGAGAGACCGCAGAGGGACAGCAGCTTGCTCGGAGCTCCCTCTCCCTCTGCCCAGGTCCGCAGCTCTCTGTCCCCATGTCCCAGTCCCTGGAATGTGTGAGGTGGCACCCCAGGTGAGGTGGGGGGGGGCCTAATGTTCTGCAGCGGCCTCCCTGGGTGGCTGGCAGACGGTGCTCCTGTCCTGTCCCACACTGACCTCCTGCATGGCCATGGGAAACCTCACAGCCTGTCTGGGCCTTGTTTCCTGGTTTCTAAGAAACTCCGGCAGTCGCTCCTGGCAGTTGCCATCCAGGTGCCCCGTGGCTCTCTGGAGTCTCTCATGGAATCCCTGCGGGCTGCCATCCAGAGGGGCCATCCCTCTCAGCAGTGGGTGAGGCAGGGACAACTGAGGCCAGGAGAGGGTGGTACAGAGGCCAGGACCCAGAAGCCAAAAGGTGCAGAGGTAGCATTCAGAGGTGACCGGCCTCACTCCAGTCTCAGCGCGGGTCCCATGACAGCGTCCTGCCCTGGTGCCCGCACACACACAGGGAGACAGTGGAGAACCCAGAGGTGGGCTCTGGGCAGCAGCATGGGCTGGACTGTGCAGGTTCACTCTGGCCTCAGGCGGGGGGCGTGCTATTGGAAGAACCGTCCTCGTACTTGCAGCTGAACTTGGGGGTCACTGAGGTCCTGGGCCTCAGCCAGAGGGAATGTGGGGACGTATCTGTGGTTCCCAAGTCAAAGTCCAGAGAGTGGGAGCCAAGTGGCCTTGGGATTTCTTTCTGGGGCTGGTGGGACTTCCTTAAGGGGACCAGTGGACCCCACCAGCTCCGGGTGGGGTCCACTGGGTACTGCAGAGCCCTTTCCCTGTACCTGCCCCAGCCTCCCCTCCACCCAGCACGTCCTGCCTGTCTGCTTGCTGTCCTTACCTCTGAGCCTGCCTGCCTTTCCAGGAAGAGGGGCTTAGAAGCCACCTTCTAGAAGATGTGCTTGGACCTATAGTAATGAATTCAGACGGGGCTGGCAGGGGCACAGGTCATCTACGAGGGGGCTGGTCAGTGGCCTCCAGGTAACAGTGTGAGCTGACAGTGTTCCTCCAGGAAGCCAGGGAAGGGTCTAGACTCCGGGACGGGCCCAGGGAGTGAGAGCCTTGCTCTCAGTAGACCAGGGTCAGCTGGGCAGAGCTGTCCCAGCTCTGGCACATGGATGCTTTTGGCCTGAGAGGCCACCTGCTCTGCTGGCCCGAGGGCCCCCCGGGGACTGAGAGCGTGCCCCTCTCAGGTGCCGCCCCTGGGTGGGAGCCGCCGGACGATCCAGACACGGGCTCTGAGTGTTCACATCCAGAGGTCACCCCGTCTCCACGCTTCGTGGCAGCGAAGACCCAGACGAACCAGTCGGGGAAAAAAGCGCCGGCCTCCGTGGTCCGCTGTGCCACCCTCTTGCACCGCACCCCTCCAGCAGCCCAAACCCAGACGTTCCGCACTCCAAATTCGGGATCTCCAGCAAGCAAGGCGACCGCAGGTACCAGTGGCCACATCACCCCACACTTCCTCCACCCCCAACCTGCCACAGCCGTGTCTGGGGCCATTGTTCCCCTGCAAGAGCAAGAACAGAGGTCCCCTCATGCTCTGGGACAAACGTGGGGCCCAGCTCTGCCGCGGGCCGGCTCTGTGACCTTGGCAAGCCACCTAACCTCTCTGAGCCAGGTCCCTTGTCCTAAGAAAGAAGGTTGTACAAGACGATTTGCAAACTTTTAAAGTCATAGAGTATTTTCTCCCAAATCAAGGCCAAGGGGCCTGTTGTCTTTGGCCTGTGTAAGCTTCTACGACTTATTAGTGGCCAGCATTTGAACATGAGGAGAATTTTGATTTCTAACTGACACTGAGAAGTCAGGCCTGGCCCCTGGGCCCACGTTCCTGCAGGGTAGCAATTGACTGTCTCCTTTGCCCCGGAACACGTGTGCTCCAGCTCGCTCCAGCTCGCCATCCCGCCCTCTGCCTCCCACCCCCGCGGCCCCCCAGCAGGGGTCATTTCTCATCGTGTCCCCTCTGTTGTCTGTGTTCATCCCGCCCCGTTCATGTCTGTCACCTGCCTGGACCCTGTTGGCATGAGTTTGCACTCTCCGCTTCTCATATAACTCAGTCTAAAAATGTCCTTTCCCTGTGGAGCTGCTGTCCGTGAAGCAGGTGGCTGATGAGAGCTTCGTCCTCCTGGCTGCCCCGTAGCTGGCACTCCCCGTGAAACCCTGGCGTGAGACAGAGGCCAGGTGGGACACTGGGGGACGCCAGCTCCAGCCTTTTCCTGGTCAAGGCGTTCTGGCTCCAGAAGGGTGAACAGGCATCAGACAGTCCCCAGGGTCATTCCATCTAGAAAACAAACAAGACCTGCCCCGTACCAAGCACCCCTGCACCCCTGCCGGGAACGCTTGGATTCGTACCTGCAGAGAACAAGCCTCGGCTGCCTGCCTGGCTTGGTGGGAGTTGGGGTGGAGTGGCCATGTGGGGTTCCGGGGACTTCTGGCCCTTCAGTTCCCTTGAGGCCAGAGCCAGCCCCTCAACATGCAGGTGATCTGAGTGAGCGCTCAGATGAATGAGCCGCTGGGTTTGTGTGACCGATGACCCCGCTGGGTGAGAGCCGTGCCCGCCTCTGCTCAGGTTCTGGAGGCTGCTCTGGGCAGGGTGTGGTGATTGATGTTTACAGTGCTTAGATCTCCCGAAAGGAGAGGAGTCAGGCAGCCTCGAAGGCCGTGGGTTTTGGGGGACGGTTGTGTTTTTGCTATAGTAGTTACAAATTGAAGCAGCCAGGTCATGGTGGTATCATTGGCGGTAGACGTGGACGCACCTGGATAATGGGATGTTGGCTTTCAAATCCCCATCTGACACTAGAGCTTTGTGGCTAGGAGTTTGCACCCAAGTTCTGCAGAGCACGGCCCACAGGGGCTGATGTGGCATGTGGCAGCTGTTGAACCTCCATGTTTTGAAGCAAGTGTCCAGCAAGCCGGGGCATGCCTGGACTGCCCCTGTGACTTAGAAGAGTCTTGATGGGATCACTCCTGGGTTTCCCAGCTGGGCAGGCCAGAGGACACCAGGTTGGGAGCAGGAACTGGCAGGGCCTGTGAGGTGATGCGAGCTGGACGTGGCCACCGCCCTCATCCTCCTGGAGTGTGGAGCTCTTGTGTGTGAGAGAACACGTCTGGGACTGGGACTTGACTTGGAGCCTCACACACTGGCTTTCCATCAGAGGCACATGAAGCAGTGCAAATTTTGCACAATTGGTTGAGCAGTAGGGGACCCCCCAAGAGTTGGCAACATCCGTTGTGTTGAGTTCCAAACAGATGTTGGTCAGAACAAAACTCCCACAGAGGTGGGCACCTGTCCCCTTGCGGACACAAAGGTTAAGGTGGAGAAGGCGATTGCTTCCTCACTCCAGAGCTTCATAAATGGAGGCGTGGACTCCCCCGGTGACATCTCACTGCTGTCTTAGAGGGCTGGCAATGCACCCTGGGCCTGAATTCAACAGCCTCTCTCTCTCTCTCTCTCTCTCTCTCTCTCTCTCTCTCTCTCTCTCTCTCTCTCTCTCTCTCTCTCTCTCTCTCTCTCTCTCTCTCTCTCTCTCTCTCTCTCTGCTGTGTTTCTCAGCCTCTCAGAGCTATGGGGGGATTAAGGGAGACCACAGCTGTGGAGTGTCTGCCCAGGGCTGCACAGAGTAGGTGCTCGGTTAGGAGGGCCTCCTTACAGACAGTTGGCAGGTGCTGTCTGAGGTGCTTGGCCCGGGCAGTCTGCAGACACCTCTGAAAGGAGCCTTGTCCCCAAGACGGAGCCTCCTTGTCAGGTGGGAGGGTGGGGAGAGCTGTGCCAGGCCGTGGAGCTACTCTGGCTTCCTTTCCCACCCATCGTCCCCATGGTTATTGGCGCCCTGGCACTCACAGCTGAGCACTTGCCCTTCTGGGGTAGGATGGACAGGATAAGACTGGCATTTCCCAAAATAGGTTCTTAGGTCCCCACTTTGGAGGGCTGCTACAGAATCTAGTATGTTTAAAATGGGGTTCCGTGGACCCCTGATGTTCCGTAGGAGCTGAGTTAAGTAAAGACGAACAGTCTCGTTCTGGGAGGACCTCAAGCCTTGGCTGTCCTCTTGCAAGTTACGAAGGGGACAGGGTCGGCTCACATCCCAGTGGACGTGTGCCCTGAGGCCGTCAGCTCTTGGAGTAGCGGTGTCCCTATGGTGCCAAGAATGTCTTGGAAAGCAGGTTCTCTTCCACCGCAGATTCTCTGTTTTGGTGCCTTCTGCAGGTGGGGCGGGGCTGGGCCTGTGGTGTCACCTGCCTGCACCCTGTTTCTGCATCGTGGGGTTTTGAAAGAGAACCAGAGAGAGGGCCGGCCACTCAGCAAGCTGCAGCCCACGGGCAGAGATGCCAGAAATCACTCAAGGGTGGCCGAGCCCTTGTCCCCGCCCCTGAGTGAACTGACCCCTCACTTTCCGTGCCTGCCATGCCCCCTGACCCAGGATGCTCTGCCTGCCGCTGGTGACCGCCAGCTTGGGAAACTAGAGTCGGCTGCTTGACCTCCTGCTGATTCAAAGCCGCCCCCAGGAAACGGGCCGCCGTCCTCCCTGCTCCTTCGTGGGGCCGTGGAGTGGGGTCTGCAGAGGGAGTGGCTGTTGGCAGGTTCAAACGAATTGGTGTCACACATGTGGAACCAAAGATGGGAGACCCAGGCCCATGTGCCATCTGCTCACTGGCTGGATTTCACCTGTGTCCCTGGGCAGCTCACCCCCACGGTGCCTAGACTTCCTGGGCATGGCCAGGAGGGCCTCCTGGGGCCCCACTGTGCTGTTCCCCCAGCAGAGAGCCCTGGGCATTCACCAAGCCCCAGGGCCTCCTCCTGCCCTCCCTGGAGACCTCGTGCTGACTGTCCCCATGGTTTTCTGTCCTGTCCCTCTCCCAGCAGAAAGCGCCTTTAGTCGGAGAGTAGAAAGCAAAGCACAAAACCACTTTGAAGAGACCAACAGCAGTTCACAGAACTCCAGCGGTGAGTGTGCCCGTGACACCGGTGCTGGCTGGCACCACAGCCACCTCCATCCCAGCCCTGGTGGGCTGAGTCTTCCTGGTGCATGATGGGTGGGAGCGGGGGAGGCTGGGGCTGGGAAGGGGAGGGACAGCAGGGCCAGGCAGAAGCAGGAGGGGCCTTCTCTTCCAGGGCCACCCTTCTGTGGCTCTTCTTTGTCTGCTCCCCGTGGAGAGAGGAACTCCCCTTCCCAAAACTTGTCCGCCAGCCCAGATGGGTGGCCTCAGAGAGCCATTGCTGCTTTTAACACTAATGTTGCAGCCGGTTTCTTCCTAGGAGAGGCAAAGGGGGTACAGTAGAGAAGGCTCTGAAAGCCAGAGGTCCCAGATTTCACCCCCACTTTGGACCTGGCACTGTCCTAAGGAGGATTCCCTTCCAGCCCCTTCAGCGCAGGCGCTTTGCCGTTTCCTGGTGGTGTCTGGCGCCCCCTGTTGACTGCCTCGGGCAGGACCCTGGCAGAGCACCCCAGCCTCTAGAATGGCCGCTGTGGGGTCAGCCTGGCAGGCCACAGGTGGTCACCAGCAGCCTGTCCAAGAAAGGCACAGCAGGGACAGCCAGGGCTTGAGGGAACAGGCATCCCGCCACTGTGCTTCCCTAGGCTGAGGCACCTGTGGGGACAGGACTCTGTGCGGTAGCTGGGGACACAGATGGTGATGCAGCCCCGGCCCAAGAACAAGCCAGCTCCACCGCCTGGCCACTAGCGGCTTCAGCCAGTGCCTCTGTTTCTCCCCGCTGTGGTGACCTGGCGGAGCCGCAGTGAGTGCCCCGGCCAGTGACGCACTGAGGCACGTGGGGCTTTTCCTGGTGGCTGGGTTTTTTTGTTTGTTTTTTTAGTAAACCAGTGAAGCTTGAGTGCCTAGGGACGGGGCTGGGGCTTTAGATGACGTCACGCACACCACCTCTCCAGGGCAGTCTGTGAGTGGAGGGGTGACTCGCCAGGCAGGACTAAGTAGCAGCAGGGGACTGGAACAGAGGTCTCCCGATGTGCCCTGGGCTCCCAGCCACGCCACCCTGCACCCCCTGTGCCTCTCGTGCCCTGGAGCCAACTCTGCTGTCGGGAATGATGCCGTCATGGGCTGCTGCCACCGGCAGCCACCATTTATTGAGCGCTTACTATGTGCCTAGCGTGTGTGCGGAGCGTGATGTGCCTCACCCGTTTCCATCCTTACCCCATCCCCGTGGGAGGCAGTGAGGAGACTGAGCTCAGGAGAGTTGATCGTAACCCCATGGCCCACAGACTGTTGCTACTCCCCCATCTTGCCGACCGACCCCGGGAGCACCTTCCGGCACTGCCCCAGGTGGACGACCACGTGGATGTTCTCTTGTTAGGACTCCTGTGTCCTCACAAAATCCTAGGGGGATGACCCTGCCTGATCTCACCCTGCCCGGAGGCCCCAGCACCCACGGGAAGCCTGCACTCTCTGAAATGTGTGACCCACTCCATGCCGCCACCACCCCATGCTTCCCCCCAGATTGTGCACCTGGCTGACGGGTGCTCCCCACTCCTGGGAGCCCCATGCGGCTCACAGGTTAGAAAGAGAAGTCATGGCGGTCACAGAACCGCAGACTGGGAGAGACTCAGCTAAACGGTTTCTCTTTTTGCAGAAACTGCAAGTCCCCTGATTCCCAATCCTTCCCCTCTCCCGCAGAGTAAGTGACCATCCTGTTGGGGGGCTGGAGAGGGCAAGGCAGGGCAGGACTCGGCTGGCCTCCTACATCCCTGACCTGGGCTTTGGAGACCGGCTTAGGCCACCCTCCTGGGCAGGCGCAGCAGCAGGTGGGAGGCCCCAGGGCCAGTGGACAAGTTTGGACAGGGCAGGGCGGAGCCCTGGCCCCAGGCAGCCTGCCTCTGCCCCTCAACCCTGCCAGGCGTCCCCTCCTGGCCATCAGTGCAGCCTCTGGACACCTCCTTGGAGCTGGCCAGCCACCTCCTCTCTCTGCCTCGCTCTTCCACTGTTCTTTTCCCACTTCCTTCCTCTCCTCCTCCCCCTTAGTGCCCTGCACTGCCTGGAGTGCTGGGGACAGAGCTGGCAGTTCAGGCCCAGGCGCCCTGGCTCCCTTCTGCTGCCTCCTCCTGTCCTCGCCCCACCCCCAACCCGGCCTCCCACTTCCTCACTGAGCATGTGTTGGCTGCTGTTTTTTTTGTTGGTTCATACATTCATTCATTCATTCGTTCACTCATTCGTTCACTTGGTGAATGTGACTTCTGTTGTCTCAGGTAGAGGGCTGGGCTGTGGCACCAGTCACTGTTCTCAGAGAACTCTTGCTCCCTGGATGGGGTCCTCCCCAAGCCCCTCCCAAGTGCCCAGAACGGTGCCTGGCATGCAGTAAGCGCTCAATAAATAGCACTCCACCAGATCCCGTGATCTCCAGCTGCATGTCTTCCTCTCTCCGTTGCTCCCTGTGTCCCCAGCCTAGTGCAGGGGAGCAGACAGGCTGGGCCCGGAGCCCTGAGCACCAAGACCCAGCGTATGTTTGGGTCCCCACAGAAGGTGCCCGGGTGTGTGCTGCCCCTCACGCTGCCCCGTCTCCCCCCAGAGCCCTACACCTGCGGAGCCTGCGGGATCCAGTTCCAGTTCTACAACAACCTGCTGGAGCACATGCAGTCCCACGCAGGTAAGGGCGCCCGCCAACACCGGCTCCTCTCCTGCCCCCCCTCAGTTCCTCAAACGGAAGAGAGACTGAGGTCCCTGGGAAAGCCGCACTTCCCTGGACGTCGCAGGATGTGAAACCCACCCTCAGAGAGTCCTTATCAGTCAGCTGTTTATGACACAGGGTGGTCTGCGCCCTGGGGTCCGCACAGGCCCTGTGGGAGCACCGTTGGGGTCGAGGGGGTCAAAGAAGGCTTCCTGGTGGCTGTGAGGAGCCTCCCGCCCAGGCTGGGCTTCAGCCAGTCTAGGACGGTCCCATGCACTGTGACACGGGGTCCCGTAAAATAGTTGCACTCAGAGCCAGACATGGTGGTGCTTGCCTGTAATCCCAGCTGTTCAAGAGGCTGAGGGAGGAGGATGGCAAGTTTGAGGCCAGCCTGGACAATTTAGCAAGACTATGTCTTGAAATTACAAAAAAAAAAAAAAAAAATTAAAGGCTGGGAATGTAGGTCTGTGATGGTGCATGCGAGGTTCAATCCTGGGTACAGAGAAAAAGCAGATGTGGGAGTCACTAGGAGGGCTGCTCCAGGCAGACTCCTAGACCACCCCCTGAACCAGGACCAGTGTGAACCTCTAAAGCGAGTTCAGAGCCACCGCCCCGAGACAGCCTGACTGGCAACGTTGCAAGAGGAAGCACATCCCGGAGGGGGCAGCTGGCTGTGGGTCTCTCTGTGCCTCAGGGGAATCCTTCAGGGGCACTAGAAGGCCTGTGTGGAAAGCACCCTGCCCACGGGGTGGCTCGGTTGATTGGCAGCTGCTGTTGATTCTACTGTCATTGTCGTGGCTATCATTTGTACCCCTCGAAGGTTATAGATCTTTCCTATAATCCTCCATGCCGGGCTCAGCCAGCGCAGAACACAGCAGGACAGGGCTCTGAGGGGAGCCGCTGCTCTGCCGTGAGCTCCACTTGTCTTCGTCCCACACGTATTTATTAGGGATCTGCCATATATCAGGCACTGGTCCGCACCATCTTTGGGCTGGGCCATTAATTATTTCTCATGAGCTCTTTCAAATCAGACCTCTTGAGTGGCAGCCAGGACACTTGAGTTCCAGTTCTGCTGCAAGGATGTGCCCTGACGCTGTGTGACCTCAGGCAGGAAACTCTGTCCCCATCCCTAAAATGAGGGTACACAGAACCCAGGTCGCCAGCTGTCAGCCACCTTCCTGTGTCCCCGGGCCTCCCTCCTGCCTTTGCCCTCAGCATCCCTCTCCTGGCTCAGACACCTCAAGGCACTTAGACTTGCCCCAGGGGAACCGGAATCCCTGAGCTAGTGACGGTTGGCAGTCTGTGCGGACCACCTGAACCTGGACGTGCCTGGACCCAAGGCCTGCCGCCCTGTACCGCCCTGCCTTGGCCACCCTCCACCTCAAAACCCTGGATGCTCCACCCACCCCCTCCCAGCTTCTGGACCTGCTTCTGGAAGCTGAGCCCTAATTAGGGAAGAGCCTCTGCCAGAGCTTCCCCACCTCTCAGCAGTGGGAGGACAGGAGGCCATTAGAATGCAAATCGGGGCTGAGCCCTGCGGTGGCCCCGCCTCTCCGGGCATCTCAGCTTGTTTCCGAGGAGTTTCCAGTTGCTTTGTTCTGGTCGGGCGCTGCCAGAGAATGGCTGGCCAGCGAGGCAGGCAGAGCCCGGCTGAATCCCAGCCAGCTGAGTCGGGATTAAAGGATTGGCTCCGGGGAGGGCAATTAAGCGTCATGAGCTGCGCAGTTCACAGCGCCACTGATAAAGAGGATCAGCCTCGAGTAACACCAATCTCATTAAGAGGCTGCTGAATGGCACGGGCTAATTCTCGCTAATAAACTTCCTTTCCCGACTGTAGGCAGCCGGTCTGCCCTGGCGACAGCTCAGAGTGTGTACTGGCAGTAATGATACTGGCGACAGCGGGCACTCAGCGCTCGCTCGCTGGGTGTCGGTGTGGCACTCGGGGCTTTCTGTAGGGCTTTTGTCAGCTGGTTGACGTTGCCGGTCCATTTACACAGGCGAAGAACGAGGCTCAGGGAACGTGATCGCTGGCCCCCAGTCGCACAGCCCCTAAGACGGCTTGACATCACTCAAACTTCTGCTTGATGCCAGCCTTTGTGCTCAGGGTTCTGTGCACGTTCACCTTACCTCTCAGGAGATCCCAAATCAGTGCCCGTATTAACCCCACTTCACAGAGAGGAGACCCACACACGGAGTGGTTTGTGACTTGCTCGAGGTGATGAGGTCACTGTGGTGACTAGACCAGGCTCCCTACCTGCACATGAACTCCAGAGCCCCAGTGCCCAGCCTCCTCACCTGCAGCCACCAGCACACCCTGGGGAGTTCGGTGGTCACAGGCCTCCCTGCCAGCCCCTTATTGAAGTCCACTCAGGAAGACCGTGGCTGAGGCGGCCCGCGGCCTTGCCAGCAATGATGAAGTTGGTAGCTGGCTTCCGTGGGACTTGGGAGGTGGCTGCACCGGCCGGGTCTGTGATCCCTCTGAGCTGCTTCACCTCTCGGGGCTTGGTTTTCTCGTCTATGGCGTGGGTTTATCCGTGCCCTCCTCAGGGCTGCATCAGGTTGCAGAAATGGGCTGTGCTCGGAGCTCCACGTCCCAAGCCCAGCAGCAGCCAGGGCCTGTTTTCCCATCACCGTCAGAAGCATATGTTGCTTGGGACCAGAAGTGTTTCAGGTTTGGGATATTTTGAAATTTGGAATACTTGCATGTCCATGATGAAGTTATCACAAGTTCTTTATCCCTTCACCATGAGTGGAAGCATGAGGGTCACTTTTGCTTTATGTATACCTTAGACTCGCAGGCTGAAGGTGACTATCCTATGTTAACACACCTGCGTTCGGCCTGCGACCCATCACCTGGGGTCGGGTGTGGAATTTCCCATTTGGGAGGTCATGCTCAGAACCTTTCAGGTTTTGGAGTGTTTTGGATTTTTAGAGTGGGCGTGTTCTGCCTGTTCTGCTTGGTCCTCCTGCAGTGTTCTCTCTGAAAACAACCACTGTTCCCCCTTCACACCCAGCCCTTCACGGAAACGCATGGGGCAGGGCCACGTCCAGGTAGCTGCGTGGAGTGAATCTCATTTTCAGTACAAGCTATAAATCACGCCCTTTCAGAGCTTGGAACCAGACCTAATTTATATCAGAAGGAGTGTCTGAGGGATCTGGAGGAAAACATTTACAAAACATCAACCAGTACTAGATACTGTTGTCAGTTCTACGTCCTGTGTAAAGGCAGAGAGAACCAGCCCTGCAGGGTACCCAGCCCCGGCATTGTGCATGGAGGGGGGGAAACTGAGGCCCAGAGAGTTGAAATGAAGTGTCAAGTGGCAGAGTTGGGTTCACATCCGGGGCTTTCCAATCCTGGTGCTCCAGGGGAGAAAGTTAACAAGGCAGGCTGCTGGTTCCCATGGGGACACTCATTTCCCCTTTGTAAACGGAAGCTCTGTCCATCAAAAGCAATGCATTCCCTCCACCAGGAAAAGGCATAGTATTTAGAAAATGAAGAATCAACCATAGTCGCTCTATTTAAAGCTAACCACTATTACCAACTTAATGGGTTTCTTTACACTATTTTAAATTAAAATCAGATTTCCTGAGGCAATTTACATAAATGAAATTGACCGCTTTTTTAAGAGTACGATTCAGTAGGTTTTGACAACTGTATACACTGTTCAGCCACCATCACCATCAAAATATATGACAGTACCATCAACCCAGAAAAGTTCCCTGGTTCCCCCCCACCCTGACAATGGAACCCAGAACTAACTACACTTTCACTATTGTTCGTCCTTTCCTGGCATTTTACATATGGAGGTTTCCTGCTCGGTGACAGTAATCGCTTTGAATTGCTGAATAGTATTCCATGGTTTCCATGTGTCACAAGTTCTTTATCCATTCACCATTGATGGACATGTAGGTCTCCAGTTTGGGGCTATTGCAGATAAAGCTGCTGTGAGCTTGTGCGGTGCAGGAGTCCTTGTAGGTGTCTATTGTAACTCTCGAGTGTCTACTGAGGAGTGGAGACCTGGGTCCTGTGCTAACTGTGTTTAGCCGTTTGAGGACTCTCCAAATAGCTCCCTGCAGTGGCTGCAGCATGTTTCCATTCCTGCCAACAGTAAGTGAGGGTCTTGTTCCTCAACTCTCAGGACACTTTTCGTTACCTTGGATTTTGACTAGAGCCATCCTAATGCAAGGGAAACGGGTATTTCATTGTGGGTTTGATTTGCATTTCACTGGTGGCTAATGGCCTTGAGCATCTTTTTGTTTGTTTATGGGCTTTTGGGCCATTTGTATGTCTTATGGGGAAGAGATATCTACTCAGATCTTTTGTCAATTTTTCAATGTTTTTCATTTTGTTATTTAGTTGTGCAAGTTCTTTGAACATTTAGAGCACCCCTACAGATAGGTCTATTTTATAGGTTGCCCTTTTGCTTTCTTGATGCTATCCTTTGAAATATAAATTTTTTTTAGTTTGTTGAAGCCTATTTACCTGTTTTTTCTCATCATCTGTGCTTTTGTTATACCTAACAAACCATTGCCTAACCCCAGATCACAAAGGCTCGACTCCTGTGCTGTCTCCTGGACTCCATGTTGAGTTGATTTTTGCATATGGTGTGAGGAAGGGATAAAACTACTTTTTTTATTTTGAAATGGAGTCTTACTATATTATTCAGGCTGGCCTCAAATTCATGGCCTCTGTGCCTCCCAAGTTGCTCGGGACCACAGGTGTGCATGACCAGCTAGCTCATAAAGTGTAAGCTTCTAACACTGATTTTGAGCCTAACTTCTTTTTCAGTATTGAATGCTACCAATAAACCCTGTTTATAGACAAATCACACACATTTTGAAATGTTTGTTATTTTCATTAAGTTCAAAACATTTTCCTAATTTCATTTGTTTTTTTGTGACCCATGAGTTATTTAAATGGATGATGTTTAATATTCCAATAGTTGTAATTTTTCTAAATATTTTTTTATTATTGGCTTCTAATTTGTTATACTAAAGCCAGAAACCAAACTTGGTATGATTTTGTATTTTTGCCCCACTCCCTTTTCTGGGAATCTGGTTACATGTACATCAGGTTGTTTCACGTTGTCCACTCGATTAATGTTTAGGGCTTCCAGTTACTAAGAGAAGAGCTGACTCTCTGGTTATGATTGTGCATTTGTCTGGTTTTTCGTTTCTCTGGATTTTTGCTTTATGAGTTTGAAAGCTGTGTTACATTTTGCATACACATTCACGATGATTGTGCACCCTTAGAAATTTGGCCTCTTTGTCATCATGCTGGGCCTCCTGTTATCGCTGGTCACGTTCTTTCTCTGAGCTCTGGTTTTCTGTAACATAGCCCACCCCTCCGCTCTCCTTTTTCCACTGTTCACATGGTACCTTTATTTAATCTTTTACTTTAAACTGCTTCCTCTTTATATTTAATGAGGTTTCTTAGAGATAATGTATTGTCAAGCCTTGTTTTTTTAAAGAACCCCTTGAGTTTTCTTTGGGATTTTGAGACATTCGCACTTAGTGTAATTTCAGTCCTGTTGGGTACAGATCTGCCGTCCTTCTCCTGATTCACTGTTCATCTGGTTTGTTCTCTGTTCCTTTTTTCTCTAATTTTCCTCCCTTATTTTGGGCTGAGAATTTTTTTGATTCCATTTTTTATCTGCACAATTGACTTATTAACTATAATCTCTGCTTTTATGGTTTTATTTGGGCTTAAGCTATCTATGCTGAATTGCCGACAGTCTGCTCTCCGTGTTGCTAGAACCTTCCAGGGGTACCTTCTGTTTCCCATCCTGTCCTGCCTGGTTCCACAGTGTGCCCTTACCTGTGATCTCCTCAGTTCATGGTCATGGTTTTCCAGTGGGCAGTCAGTCCCCTCTGAAGGTCTTTACAATGCGGGAGAGGTTTTGTACTTACCCACAGGCGCAGTGCCCAGCCATCCTTCACATTCTTAGTGTCCCTCTCTTTCTTAGCTCGGATGAACTTCCTGTATTTCTTCTAATGAAGTCTGGTTTTTGTCTCTGTCTTAAAAGTCTATTATTTCACTTTAACTTGTTCCTCGTTTGTCCTTCACTCGCTGGACCCAGGACGCAAGGTGGCCCTTTTCTTGTAGCACGTCCTTCTCTTGCCTTGGGCTGTGCAGTTCTTGGGGACAAGTCTGCTGCCGTTCTGCTTGTGCTCATCTGTACTTGATTCCCACCCCCTGTAGCTGCTTTCAAGATCTTTTTTCTCTTCATTGATTTTCAACAACTTGATCATGATGGGATGATGTGCGTTCGTTGTTTTTTTTTTTTTATGTTTATTTCTCATTGGACATGATCGAGCTTTTTGAATCAAAATTTGTTGTCTTCACCTATTTTGGAAGAATTTTGTCTTGAGAGTTTTGGGCCCCTCCAGTCCCTTTTCCTGGGACCCCATTTCTATCTGTGTGTGCGTATTGAACGGCCTGATGCTGCTCTGGCTCCGTTCGTTTCTGCCAGCCCTTGTCCTCTGGTGTTCAGGATGAACCTGCTTTTGTCTTCATGTTCTGATCTCTTCTCTGATGGCGTCTGATCTCCTTTCACCTCATGTGCCGTCCTTTCCACATGAGCATTCTTCCCGTTTTCCACTCCCCCCTCATGTTTGTGTTTCCCCTTGTGCCTCTGAGCACATGCACATGGACGGCTGCTGTCTCTGAGGACTTTGCTGGCTGCTCCGTCGACTCTGGTCTGCTTCTGTTGCCTGGTTTTTCTCCTGGTTAGTTGTACCCGCCTACTACTTACTGGATACTTGGTGTTGTGCCTTTTACATTGTTGGGACGTCATTGGTTTTTATCTGTTTGTTTGTATATTGTGACACTGAGGATTGAACTGAGGGCCTTGCTGATGTTAGGGAGGTGCTCTACCGCTGAGCTATACCCGGAGCCCTTTTTATGTGTTTTGAGACAGGATCTCACTAAGCTGCTCAGGCTGGCCTTGAATTTGACATCCCCCTGCCCCGGCCTACTCAGTGGCAGATTCAGTGGATTTCTTGAAAGAGGGTTGGATTTGTCTGTCTGCAGTCTAGTCATTAGGATGACCTTTATACTTCTGAGGCTTGTTCTCAAGACAATATGGCAAGCGGGGACCAGCCCTCAGTCTGCGGCACATTTAGTTCCCTGGGTAAGATGGGGACCCTGCCCAGTTCCTCTTGCCCTGAAGTCTTTTTCCCACCTGCCTGTCATCTTGTGCAAACCTTTTTTTACATACGGACCTCAGAACTTGGTGCTTTGTGTCGTGTAAGTAGGGCTTTGGTGTTGTTTCATTTATTTCATGAAACTGCTAATAAATATGGCAGAGTGTGGTGACGCACACATATCATCTCAGCTACCTGGGAGGCTGAGGCAGGAGGATCACAAGTTCAAGGCTAGCCTAGGCAACTTAATGAGACCCTGTCTCAAAATAGAAAAGGACCGGTAGAGGACTTGCCTGGACTGTGGGAGGCCCTGGGTTCCATCCCGAGTACTGCTCCCCTGCCAAAAAAATCGTATTGAAAACACCCAAAAAAGTATCCGCTGTCTGCGGAGAAGGCAGGTTGACTGGCCTGAGTCCTCGTGTGGTTCACCTACCTCACAGTCTTGCCTTGTCCGTGGGCCAGCCTCTTGCCCTTCAAGGCAGCACCCTGTCCCCTTGTGCCCACAGCTGACAACGAAAACAACATCGCCTCCAACCAGTCCCGGTCTCCACCTGCCATAGTGGAAGAGAAGTGGAAGCCCCAGGCCCAGAGGAACAGCGCCAATAACAGTAGGTCTCCTCCACACGGCGGCGGGAGCCTGGCCAGAGGCCTGCCAGCCCCACTCCAGCCACTCCCCTGCTCCGACAGCCCCCTGTGCCTCCTGTGGTGATGCAGGAGGAGGCCTGAGGCTTCCAGAACACACTTGCACCTCATGCTAGAATCCTTAACTCAGGACAGAAGGCCCTGGGAGAGGAAGTGATTGTGTTTTGGTCAGAGAGCACCAGCTAGTGTCAGAATTAGGAGCCACCACCTGCCATTTCTATTGGCTATTCCTTCCTGCCACTGGCTACGTCTGTTTTATTTACTAAAGGTCCCTGGTTTGCATTGATTCCTACGTTGAGGGTGAGGTTAGTTGTCTTCAACGGTCTGGTTGAATGACACACAGGGCAAGTATGTTGCACATATACCACTATTTCCACGCCCATGGCAGACATTACCAATCAATTGTGGAACTTTATTCCTGTGAGACCATCACGTTAGAAGTAGCCTGTGCCCCCAGTGTCCATGAGAGATGAACTGTATTTGCCATCCTGTCCTAGATGTTTAGAGAATTATGCTGCTGCCAGGACAAGTACCTTGATGCAGAATTAATCACAGCTCTCTTTGTGTCCCTTGCCAGCCACAACCAGTGGGTTAACCTCCAACAGCATGATCCCAGAGAAGGAGCGGCAGAACATCGCCGAGCGGCTGCTGCGAGTCATGTGCGCCGACCTGGGTGCGCTGAGTGTGGTCAGCGGGAAGGAGTTCCTCAAGCTGGCCCAGACCTTGGTGGACAGCGGCGCCCGCTACGGGGCCTTCTCGGTCACCGAGATTCTGGGCAACTTCAACACGCTGGCCCTCAAGCACCTGCCTCGTATGTACAACCAGGTGAAGGTCAAGGTGACATGCGCCTTGGGCAGCAATGCCTGTCTGGGCATCGGTGTCACCTGCCATTCTCAGAGCGTGGGCCCCGACTCCTGCTACATCCTCACAGCCTACCAGGCCGAGGGCAACCACATCAAGAGCTACGTGCTGGGCGTGAAGGGCGCAGACATTCGTGACAGCGGTGACCTGGTGCACCACTGGGTACAGAACGTGCTCTCGGAGTTCGTGATGTCGGAGATCAGGACAGTGTACGTGACGGATTGCCGGGTGAGCGCGTCCGCCTTCTCCAAGGCCGGCATGTGCCTCCGCTGCTCAGCCTGTGCCTTGAACTCGGTGGTGCAGAGCGTGCTGAGCAAGCGGACGCTGCAGGCCCGCAGCATGCACGAGGTCATCGAGCTGCTCAACGTGTGCGAGGACCTGGCGGGCTCCACGGGCCTCGCCAAGGAGACCTTCGGGTCGCTGGAGGAGACCTCGCCACCGCCCTGCTGGAACTCCGTGACGGACTCGCTGCTTCTGGTGCACGAGCGCTACGAGCAGATCTGCGAGTTCTACAGCCGGGCCAAGAAGATGAACCTCATCCAGAGCCTCAACAAGCACCTGCTCAGCAACCTGGCCGCCATCCTGACGCCCGTGAAGCAGGCGGTAATTGAGCTGAGCAACGAGAGCCAGCCCACCCTGCAGCTGGTGCTGCCCACCTACGTCAGGCTGGAGAAGCTGTTCACGGCCAAGGCCAACGACGCGGGCACCGTCAGCAAGCTGTGCCACCTCTTCCTGGAGGCGCTCAAGGAGAACTTCAAAGTGCACCCGGCCCACAAGGTGGCCATGATCCTGGACCCGCAGCAGAAGCTGCGGCCCGTGCCGCCCTACCAGCACGAGGAGATCATCGGCAAGGTCTGCGAGCTCATCAACGAGGTGAAGGAGTCCTGGGCCGAGGAGGCCGACTTCGAGCCCGCTGCCAAGAAGCCCCGCTCCGCAGCTGGCGAGCACCCCACGGCTCAGGAGGATGACCGGCTGGGGAAGAGCGAGGTGTACGACTACCTGCAGGAGCCCCTCTTCCAGGCCACCCCTGACCTCTTCCAGTACTGGTCTTGCGTGACCCAAAAGCACACAAAACTCGCCAAGCTTGCCTTTTGGCTCCTGGCGGTCCCAGCCGTGGGGGCCAGAAGTGGGTGTGTAAATATGTGTGAGCAGGCCCTCCTGATCAAAAGGAGGCGGCTGCTCAGCCCGGAAGACATGAACAAACTCATGTTTCTGAAATCCAACATGCTTTAAGACTCCGGAACAGAGAAAAAGAGAAGAAAACAGAGAAACGACCGTTAGAAAAAAACACACAACACTGTCACAAAGAAAAGGAATTTAAGTTCTAAACACTGTGGACCTCATTATAAACGCCCCCTAGAAACTTAAGTGCTTTTTTCCAGTGTGTGTGTGTGCATGTGTGTCCACATCCACACGTGTGTGCGTGTGTCCAAACACACGTGCCCGGGGTGTGGGGGGCCTTGTGCTCATCTGCACATCCAGAGAAGCTTTGCACACGCGTGCACACACATACAATCCTGGTGCGTGTGCATGCACCTGCCCGCAGGTGTGTGTGCATTGACTGAGTGTGTCAGGAAAGCCGGGTGACTGGGAAAGAGGGAGAAGTTTCACCTTTTCTCGGGAAGGGGCTCTAAAGACTCCATTTTCAGGTGTGCAGATCAGGAGAAGCTGACGTTGTGAAATGTTCAGGCAGCTGAGATCTGAATGACTTGATGCTCCTTGTCCTCGCCCCCCCGCCCCCCACCCCCAGCCCTCCAGCCCCACCCGCCCCCACCCCACCCAGCTGCTCTGCCACGGATTCTCCAAACTGCATCAGATGGACAGTTTCTGCACTGGACTTTGTTTCTCGTTCACCTTCAGGGCATTGAGCTGCTGCCTGGGGAGCACCCTGGGGTGTCTCCCGGCAGCCGCCTTAGAAACACACCTATCTATCTCCCTAAATCAGGAAAAGGAGACTTTAAGAATATGAAGCTGACGTTTTGCTTTTTAATATAAGAGAGGGAAAAAAAGACATTTTTCAGAGAAGTATAGCTAACTGTCTCCACTCAACGTCGTTTTTTTTCCTAACATTTTAGCAGTTTTCTCCTCTTTTGGGGGGTTCGTTTCGTTTCTTCCGATTTGATTTAGACTCTGCTAGGAGGCACTGAATGTCTAACTTATGTTTCCGAGTTTCGCCCTTCTCGTTCCTCGAGTCACACTGTAAACTAGCTCATCTCAGAGGTACAGTCAGTACCCTAAGGTTTTTTCCTGCCTTCCCCCTGCAACCAGTTTTCACCTGTTGGCAGCAAGGTCAAGAGCAAGGTCTTGGCTGAGCTGTCTGCAGATCAGGGGTGGGGGCGGGGTCGCGGGAACCTCAGGCGCGGGGTCTGGTGGAAGCCATAGGGGGCAGCACCTGGCATAGGGGGTCTGAACATAAGCGGAAGAGCCGCCCCCCTGCTTCGCTGCGCCTGGTACCGCGAGTTCTGACTTCCGTACCCAGAGTGCTCTGCGCTCCCCACCAGGGCCTGACCCTTCCAGCTCAACAGGGACTTCTGCCTTGATCCATGTTCGCGTCCACCACACCCCAGACCCACAGCCTCTCCTACTATTTCAGGGTTCTAGGGGGTCCCACAGCCCTCCTGGGACCCCAAAGGCACTTCAGCCCTCTACCCAGGACAGTAGTAGAGCGTGGTGCCTTGTGGGTGGATGCACTGGACTTGATGCTGCGAAAGGGTCTTTAGGCCTCTCTGCCAGCCCTCAGCCATGAGCAGTTGTGTTCTCCGCAGTCCAGATGCTGAGAGTGACACAGAGGAAGATCAGCTCTCAACCCCCACCCGCCCCACCTCAGTAGAGCCGATAGTCCTACGTCCCTTCGGTGATCATGGCTGTGGGGCAGCGATGGTCACACTTAAGGCAGAGAATGACCACCTTTGTGGGGGCTACTGGCAAAGGAACCGTCTCCCTTCCTGGGGGTGGCTGCGTGACTCCCCCTCCCAGTAATGAAGCATTACTCAACTGCGAGATACCTCGACTACAAAAGCACTGTACGACAGCCCTGTCCCCTGTCCCCGGCAGGAAAGGAGTCAAGTTGGTCATGACTGAGGGCCCAGATCACCGTCTTTGGGGGCCGAGCCTGTGCACTTTGCCTCATGAGAACTGGCCCAGCCCTCCCTGCGGCGTCTGGGACGTTCTGGAATGGATACAAGCGGGCCATTTCCACATTCGCTCCAGCGAGCCCCGGTCTCAGGAGCCACTCTGCCACCTCTCCTCCTGGGGAAGTTCTCACATTTCCTCCACATCTGCAGCTCGGATCCTGTCATCAGGAGAGCCTCAGTGGAACAAGAACAGGGAGGCCCAGACAGGAGCTAAGGTCACTTTCTGGAGTGGAAACAGCAGCAGGCTCTTGACCTTCTGGGCTTTCCAGAAGGGGAGCTCTCAGGTGCTGCTGATAGACAGGCGTCTACAGCTGTGCTTGACAGATGTGGCTGGGGCCACAACCTGGCACTCCTCACCACACCCGAGCTGCCTGCTTTGTGTGGTCAGTGAGAGCCGCCTTGGAGCAGAACTGTGCTGGTGGCCCTGTTTGGGGGGCCACTGAATTTGAAAGTAAGCATTTCGCTCTCTTGGAAAGCTTCTAGCAAGCCCAAGTGTGTAATTAGAACACTCAGCGTTCTCTTTTCTTTCCTCTGGAAAGAAAAGTAGAGAAAGTCTAAACTCAAGGTATCTGGCCACAGGCTGTCACCTGTCACCTTCTCTCTGGTTCTTTTGCACCTCAGTTCAGTGCTTGGGGCTTAGCTGGCCTCTGCAGGTCTGACGTGAAAGCCACTGTGTCCGCACCGAGCTGTCTCCTGCGGCTGCCTCATCCACATGGATAGCAAAGTGGTAGGTGGTCGTTTCTCTCTTGCCAGCTCTGGTTCCCCAGGGACTCCTGTCCCCAGTCCTGCTGCAGCAGACAGCTTAACAAAACCCAAAGATCTCACAGGCTCAACCGCTGGCCCCATGTCTCCAGCAATATCCACCTTACCAAATTCTAGCTCAGCCAAAGGATCCGGGCAGGCGCTCCCAGTTCATCTCGTGGTGCCTGGCCTGGCCCTGACTGTCAGAGTGTCATCTGCCTCCTGATTCTGTGACCACTGCAGGTCTTTCCACCACAGGCCTTTGAGGGCTGGGGAACCGGGAAATTGGGCCTTTTCTGTCAAGATGGTGGCCTGCTGGCTTGGATCCAGCTTGCCACGAGCCATGTGATTCCCAGGACAGAAATGGCCTTTGTTTGGACATCTATAGCCCCAAGAGGGGAGGTGGAGAGAATACACCTCCACTTAGCAGGGTTTTCCCCCCTCATCTGAAGTCACATTGTCACCACAGCCCAAGTGAAGGACCGAGCATTGTGGTCTCAGATTGGAGTAGACAGTGGGGGGTGTCTCAGGCCCACCAGGAGCTGTGCTGCCATCCCTCCCGGTCATGGGTGGATGCACCCGTCCCAGCCTGGTCCTCCTGTGGCTGGTGCCGAGGTTGAACTGCCAGGCCACCCTCCAGAGCCACGCAGAAGCTAGGAAACAACAGTGCCACCATCCCATCTGCCGCGTACCTTCACACTGGGCTAGGGAAAGGACATCGAGGATTCCTGGCAAGAAGGGTGGTCCAGTGGCCCAGATGAGAAGCCGCAGGTCTCCGGGAGCCTAGGAAGGAGTTGGACATCAGCTGCGTGGGCTGGTCCAGCGTCCCCTCTTTGAGTTCGACCCTTTATCTCTTGCACTTTGACGAAACACCAGGGAAGAATTCTGCAAGTCGTTTTCCACTGTGAAGCTGAACCTCTGCCTTTAGGAGTCCCCTGTTGGTGAGTGAGGCCACCTGTCGCTGGACTTGGGGTGGGCTCCTGGCAGGGTGGGCACCTGGAGAGACGTCAGGGATGCAACACATGCTCTCTGGGGCCATGGGGCCACCAGGAAGGCTCGCAGAGAAGCCTGTGCGTGGATGGAGAAGGGAGGCCCGTGAGGCCCAGCAGGGAACACCCTCTGTCCTTGTCATACCCGTGCTGTTCTCCAAGGGCACGGCTGGCAGCCTGCTGGCCTCGTAGGCTGCACCAAGCTCGGGCTTTTCCCAGGCCTGGGGAGCTTGACGGCCTCTTGTCTGGATGTGTCTGAAGGAGGGCCCCTGGGAAGGCTGCTGGTTTCGATGGTCCAGAGAGACGAAGGCTCGTTCTGTGCCCTGGAGATAGTAGACGGGGGCTCCTGTCCCGACCCTGCCAGCCCCAGCCCAGAGCCCGTCCCCAGCCGGGCAGTGGGAGGGCTGGGAAGGACCCCCACTCACTGTGGCTCATGTTTGCTAGGCCAGTTTTGGTGAACCAATGATACAGTGTTTCCCTCTTATGTTTCCCCCCAGGGCCCTCCAGGGCTTCCCGGGGATTTTGTTGTTGTAGTTGTTTTTCTTCCTCTCATTTGGGTCTGGCTTTCACCCGCCGAGGCCTGTGGTTTCTGTGCCAGACACACCTGCTCCCGCTGGGATAGGGGGCAGCCGCGGTCTGACTTACCCATGCCTCTCCACCACCTCAGGCGTTCTTTAAGGACTGATCCTGTGCAGAAGAGTCGCCAGGTCTGTAGCTGGGCAGTGGCACCACGACCCACAGGGTCCCACCCTCCCAAGCGTCCCACTGGGCATCTTGACTCATCGAACCAAAGTTCCTTAAAGGGGCACAGCCCAGCCTTGTCCACAACCTCAGGGGCCTGGGATTCCCGTGGCGCACCCTGAAATCCCAGCCGGCACAGACTGGGGTCTGAGGCCAGCCGCAGGGAGGGGCTCCTTCCAAACCCAGGCGCTGGCCGCTCTCCACCTGGCCTGGCCGAGGCGGTGGCTTCGCCGTGGTGAGCCAGCTCCTGAACTGCCGTGGGCTGGGACTTGCCAGCCGGAGAGATCAGGAGCCACGCGGTCTGGCCATGCAGATCCCGATCATCAGGAAACCATTTTGTACAACCACCCGAAGCAGAGATATTTTGTAAGAAGCGTAAATTATTTCCAGTTGTTTTCTGATCCTACCTTTTTCTTTACCCCACACTCCACGTTGGCGATTCGCTCACATCAGGTAAATCTTGAGAAAGCCTTGGTGCCCCCCCTGCCCCCACTCAGTAACCACGTGCGTGCGCCCTCGTCCCTTCTCAGTAGTGACAGCGTTCTAGGCAATACCATAGACACATCTGACTGTGTCTGTCTCTCCGAGTGCAAGAAACTCAAATCATCTTAAAAAAAAAAAAGAAAAAAAACGAAAAAAAAAACACAAAAAAAATTTACAAAAAAACAAACAAAAAAAAATATCTTTTTTAGGCCAGAGTTTTCTACAGGTATTAATGAATATTTTTCTTAATCCTTATAAGTTTTATGTGTTTAATATTTCTTAATACCGGTAGCATTAATTTATACTTTTGTAGCAACACAATATTTTTATAAACAGCCAGTGCTTGGCTCAAGTCTTCACGGGGGTTTATGCAGGGCCATCTTGGGGACCCTGTGTACCATGTACTGTATTTAAAAAAAAAAAAAAATACCTAGTGTCACACTTGCTGTGTTGATTAACAAAAGGCGTTGTTGGCGGTCTCCTGTGTCGTTGATGTACATTCGGCGCTTCTCCGAGGAGTCATTGCATGGGGGTTGAGTTGAGGTTCTTGTGATATGTGAACCCCCGAGGCCAATCTTGAGGGTTTATTTAGGGTTTTCTGTGTGTCCTTTGGGTCTTTCTTTTCGCTTTGTTTTGGTACCGTTTCTCCATTTACAGCCCAAATCAGTTTTCATGATGTTTAAAACTTTCACTGATTGTCAAATGGAGGAAAGGAACAGGAAAAAAAAAAAGAAAGAAAGAAAAGATTTTTACTAAGTAATAAAATTTAAAACTGAGCTGTTTAAATGTTGCTGTTTTTACCTGTCTGTTCTCGTCCGAAAGTGGAACATTCCCAGGGAGAAGAGGAAGGTTCCATCGGGTTCCTTAAGTCACCAAAAGCCCCAGCCCAGGATTCAGTTCCTCCCCCCATCCCCTGAATTCTCGCCACGCTCTTCCCCGGTGGTTGATACCAAGGCAAAACATCCTTTTCATGGTTAGAGAGGATCAGTTGCTTAAATGAATTCATGTTGGTTGTATTTATGGTTTTACAATAAAACGACCTTTAGGAAGATGCGCTGTGTGATGTTTTCTCTTGGGTTAGGGGTCGGGCCGTGCCATCCAGCAGGACTGCTCTGCTCACCTTTTTTGCTGCTATGACTTAAAAGACCCAACCAGCACAACTGTAGAGGAGGAGAAGTTTACCTGGGAGCTCCCGGTTTCCAAGGTCAGTTTCAGAGGTCAACCACAGGCTCCATTCCTCTGGGCTGGACGTGAGGCAGAACCTCATGGCAGCAGAGTGTGGCGGAGGGAAGCAGCTCAGGTCGTGGTGATCAGAAGGCAGAGACTGCACTGGCCACATACATACACATACCCCAAGCCCCGCCCTAATCCCCACCCCTCCAGCCACACTGGCCACTCCAGGGATCCCAGCAGGGATTGATGCGCTGTCACCCAGTCATTCCTCCTCCAGACCTTCTTGCATGGTCTCACACGTCTAAACCATAACAAGGACTGAGTGAGGAGGTGAGCCGTGGGCAGGTGACCCAGGTGGCAACTTGAAGCATGCTGGGGGTGCCACTGAGGCTGGGCCTGCCAGCTGTCAATCGGTGAGTCACTGGTGAGCTTCGCTGGACCAGCTCTGCTAGTGTCTGGTGAATGAGTGGAGGTCATGGCTGAGAAGAGGTGGCCCCTTGCGTGCTTGCTGTGGACCCTTGCGCCAGGCACACACCCGAGTGTGCCAGACCTATGGGCATTCATGTGGCTCTTGTGCCCCTTTTACCAGCGTCTTAGGCCTCATGGCGCATGTGACGTTGAAACTGTTGTGTCATGGTCCGTTTCCCGGAGAAGAGTGTCTGTGGTTTTTGTCCAGTTCCTCATGGCACCTGGGCACTTCTCAGCACCCTCACTGTGAGCTTGGGGACACGCCCAGGGGCACCTGGTCCAGGCCCCACGTCAGTTGTGCTTTTCTTTAGTAACTCAGACCCAAGGCAAGTCGAGAGGGAGAGGGAGAGAGACACTTCCGGAAGACCAGCTATGGCCCGTGCAGGGCCTGCTGCTGGGTAAAGCTGCCGCCTGATTCTCCAGGTAAGTGAATCACAGGACCCTGCCTGCCCTTGCTTCCTGTCTCCAGGAATGGTCACTGACTGGACTTTAAGAGGGTCTCTGAAAAAAATCCCATCAAATCCCTTGTGACAGCTGAGAGGCTGCGGAAGCTGGACCAACCTCCTAAAGAACAGCAGCCCTGCTCTCTGCTGTCCTCCTTGGGGGACAGGTGTCCTCCTGCCAGGTGACCTGGACATGCCTAAGCTGTGCAGTGGAAGTTGGAAGCAGGAGCTTCTCTGCATCTCAAATAAGAAGTCTGGAGGCCTGCAGAGGAGCCTCTTGAAGGTCATGGTCAAATAGGGCCAGGGTGTGGCCCAGGAGCTCCCAGCCCTTGCAGGCAAAGGGCCAGCCTCTGGGTTCTACAGGATTGTCTTTTAAAAAAAAAGGCAAAAGAAAGTCGTGTGACTTCACTGAGCAGCCACGTCTATTTTGTAACGAATGTAAGCAGCACCATTAAAAGAAAAGTCGGAGAAGAAACTATTGAAGAATCAAGTGCATCTTCAGGGAAGGGGCAGCCACTTGCCTGGGAACGATCCCTGGTACCTTCTGAGATGAGCCTGCTGAGCTCTGTGACAGGGTCACACTGCGCCCCCACCCCACCCTGGAGGGAGTTTATTTAGTTCATTTCATTTTGGTGAAAATAGGTAGCAAGTGACACAGAAAGAAATGGCTCAGGGAGCAGGCAGGTCAGGGATAGGGCTGGTGAACGCCGAGGCGAGGGCCCTCCAAGGGGCATCTTGTCGCCCCCTTGGCTTAAGGATGCAGCCCAGGGTGGCCAGGACCTGCTTTCATGAGAATTGAGAAGGCTGGGTTCTACACGGTGGTTTCAGAAGTGCACAGAAGTATCTGTGAGCCCAATGTCCCTCCCACCGGCAGAAGGCAGCTTACAACAGTGGCGGCCATTTGTTAAGCATTTGTCCTTCAGGTCACTTCAAAATCCCCCTCTTCAGAGAGGCACCTTCAAAGTCCCATCAGCAGCTGATCCGGTGTGGGAGGCACGTGGGGACAGGATGGACATGACACGTTTGTCAGCGTCAGGCTGAGGAGCCCCCGGTCATTCCTCTTGGAACAGCTGACTCCCCTTGCTCCTGACCCACCCACTTCTGCCCAGGGAGTCCTGCTCATGAACAGAAACACTGTCCTCAGGACAGCTCTGTCGGAACCTGGAAGCCACGCCCCTGGAATTGGGAGGAGGGTCTTTGAGGGGGCTGCAGAGCTTCTTGCACCCACCTCTGGCCCCTGGGTCACCCCCTCAGCAAGAGACGTGGAACTCCCTCCCTCCTTCCTGATCTGTCCAGAGCATGGGCTGAGTCAGCATGAGAGGCAAGCCCTTGACAGAACTGACCTCTGGCCCTCAGGACGCTGGTCCCTCCCCAGAGAAGAGGGGCCCAGCCCTGCCGGCTGTCCGCAGAGTGCCACCAGCAGGAGACAGTCATGAGTCCCATGTTTATAAATCCAGTGTGTAAGTGGAGAGTCCTGGAGGTGTATCTTCTGGCCAGTTGGTCCTGGAGCAGCCCTGGACTGCCCACCTACACCTTCCCAAGCATGCGAGAAGGCAGCCTGCCCAAGGGCTTCCTTAGGAAGCAAGGAATAGTCTCCTTCCAAGGCCAGGGCCAGGGTGAGGATTCCAGGGGACAGGTGCTCAGAATGAGGTGGGGACCAGCCCCAGCACCCAGCTTGGGGCAGCTGGGGATGGGGACGGGGCAATGGCTGAGGGAAAGTGCCAGAGAGGAGTCGGGTCAGTCAGGGACCAGGAGTGGTTCAGGCACGTGCTGTTCTCCCTCAGCTCCCTGGGCACACTAGGGCACCAGTATTTCCTCTGACCCTGGGTCACTCATGACCTCCATCCAACGTCTCCCAAAACAACTGCCCGGAGTTTCATGAAAGCAAAACAAAACAATCCCCTTCCGCACTGTGGTGGAGCAGGGGGCCGCGCGCGGCTGCACACTTTGCACAGACTGAAGGGGGTTCCGATCCACTTCCAACCCACGCACTTCCGACTTCCCGGACGCTAGGTGGGCCACGCCCCACCCGGCTTCTTCCCCTCCCACCCTCCTCCATCTTGTTCCATTTATGGTGGCAGTGCAGTCAGGACAGGGAATTGCAGCAAGATACCATTTGGTTTTATTTGGACCCGGGTCATCTGCCCCAGCCTGCCCTGGGAGGGACGCTGTCCACCCTCGTTTGCAGACTGGCCAGCCATCAGTTGGAGTAGCGCAGTAGCTCCTCATCCCCTGTGGACACAGAAAGGCTCAGGAAGGGGCTCCAGGGTGGGGACCTCCAGGGGGTGGGGGAGGGAAAGCCACCTGAATGTGGGGGCAAAAGCGTCCACTTGCCGAGTGACAGCCCGGGGCATGCCACAGGATGATGTGGATTTTTTGTTGTTGTTGATTTGCCTTAGGTACCATTTTGCAATGGGAAAAATCAAGGCACAGAAATCTCATGTGGCTCCTGTCCCCAAATAGTCATTATCAGCAAAAACTGCCATTAGCTGAGCACTAATTCTGCCAGGTACTGTGAAGTCTGGGAGGTGGGTATTTTGTCCCATTTTACAAGAGAAAATGGAAGCTCAAATTGCCCTTGGCACACGCACCCCCACCCTGCAGCCAGCCTGAACATAGCAGAAGGCGAACGGGAACCCAGCTCTCCAGCTCCTCTGGCTGCAGGCTCTGAGCATGCCCGATCCTGGCCCGGGTAGCACCCTGGGTATGGCTCATTTTACATTTGGGAAGCTGAGGCCTCAAAAGTGGTGGCCTGCTCACCAGGAATTCAGCTCTGCGGGACCCACCCCTTATCAGGATTCTCCCCCCTGGACCCTGGCAGCCCGGTGGTCCAGCCTGGCACCCCTCAGGGCCTCCTACCTTCGCCAGGGACGCCGCAGTACTCCTTGCACTCCTTCTCTGAGTAGAACTTGTTGCCGTTGCCTTGGCAACCCCCATAGTTGAAGAGGACGCACTTCCCCTGGACGGCATCAAATGCCCAGAGCTCTATGAACGCTCTGCAGGGACCAGGGACTATGGGGAGGCTGCAGGCCGCTGTGCGGAAGAGAGAGGCATAGTGCTTCAGTGAGACTTGGGACATACTAGGGCTCCGGAGCCAGGGCCCTGCTCAGCTGGAACCCGTGGTCCCTCTTTTACAGATGAGGAAATAGATCCACCTTGGCCAAGGGACATCTCCACCCAAATCCATATCCTATGGCTTCAGGAGCTTGCCCTGAAATTCCACCGTTGGACACCCTCCCCTGGCTCCCTGCTCCTTGGCAAGGGGTCTTCTGGGAGAATGGATGGTGTGGGGGAATGGAGGCGCCGAGCAGGGGGCCACACTCACCCACGGTGCGGCACGTCTGCAGACACTCCTTCTCAGAGACGAAGTTGTTGTCGTTGCCCAAGCAGCCGCCATATTGGAAGGTCTCACAGGCCATGGACGATCCATTGTAGAAATACCTCGGGAACAGGCCCAGGCAGGGGCCTGGTGAGTGGGCCAGCTGGCAGGAGTCTGGGAAGGGGCCAAAGAGCAGCACTTACTGAGTGCTTACTGGATACCTCTTACCAAGCAGGGCACTTAGTCGGCATCATCTCCTGTAATTTTCCCCTCATGGATAAAGGAAAGATCATCGGTGCATTTTATAGATGAAGCAACTGACTCTCGAGAAAGGCCAAGTGACTCACCCAGGGTTACACAGAAATAAGGTCCCAAGCCAGGTCTGTTGGACTCCAAAACCAGTGCTCATTGACTCCATCACATGGGAGTTGACCCCCAGTGACCCCCTGTGTAGTCTTATCTGCCCAGAGAGTCTGTGCTGGCAGGAGTGTGATACATTTCCACCCCACACTGGCCAATCTGATCCCTTCACTGCAGTGCCACCCCACGCCTTTGCTCTCATTGTCCCTGACTCCGGGGTGTCTTCCACAGGACCAGATGCCTCCACACAACATGAATTTCCCTTGGTCCAGGAAGTCTCCCTGAC